GTGAGCGCATTCAGCAGCTTGATATACAGGATGAAGCCCAGGTTGAAGAGCCTATATCTCGGCATCGCAAGCGAGCTCCACAACGCTGTAGTGGCTGTGGGACTATAGGACATACGATAAGAGGTTGTCCTAGTAAATAACTATTCATTTTTATTTTTTATATAGTCTAGTTTAATGGCGTTGGTGGTTGAAAAGCTTTAATATCCTTGTGGTTGCGGAGAAAATGGTCAGCTCGGTTGTATGGTCAGCTCGGCTGTGGATTACGTTAGATAGAGGTTCCTTATCGAACAATACCAACTGCTGCCTGATTGATGCCTCGCTGATATCAAATGGCGCAAGCAGCGTATTTACTCTGCTATTACTGCTTTTGAAACCGCACAATCGCTTAGTATACTCTATAAGGTAGTCAACGGTCTTATATAGGATCCTAGACAGCTCCCTTTTGCAAGAATCAGAGACCTCAACCATATACGCTCAATACGTACTTTCGACCCTGACTAAGCTGTGATTCCGACACTAACATCTGACGTACATAAACCATGACCATCAAAGACTCTCCGTTTGCTTCCCCATACAGCTTTTTGTTCGCTCTTCTATAGTCTCTCGTTTCAAATATCCACCATGTATTGCACGATCAGGGATGGGAACAAGGCCAAGCTAGTGAAGTCAAAAAACTCATCGTATCGATGACTTCAAATACTAGTAGAAGCGACTCCGCGAGATTCTGGATTCTTGGACCGCGTTGAGGTTGAAGGGTGCCAAGTATTCGAAACACTTACAGACGAACATTTCAACTGCCTCGGTATTGGACTGACTGACATTGATGTGGAGACGAGACGGACTTCTCCCTCGGTCACCCGATACTTCTTACCTGCTACGGACGATGCCTCAGGGTTTCGAGCAGTGCTACTGTCCCGATCGATGACTGTTTCACCAAGCACAGTAAAAGTAGAGCGAAAGGGTCTATTGTGATTATAGGTGGTCGAAATATCTTGCAGATGCTTTTGCTGGCCGTGCATATTAATCAAGAGCGTAACGGGTTTGTCTATCCCTGGGAGCAACGTAGGATCCCTTGACTTGATGGCTTTTTATGAATCGTTACGCTGACACAAGCACCTTCTTGTCTAGTCTCTATGGTTCTAGGAGAGGACAATTGTTCCACGTTGGCCACAGCCTCGATGTGAAAAGTGGAAACGAATAACGCGGCGGACGTCGTCCGCATCGTGCTGTTCTTACTATGCTGAATAGAAAAGTAGGCGAGCATCGACCGCCCATTGCTGAATTGATTGTACTTGTCACCTGGATCTTGCAGCAATATACTACCAGGATGTCGCGAAATTAAAAAAGACAGAGAAAGGGCAAGGCGATGCGATTGTACATGATCTTTCCAGTTTGATCTTGTGCCCATGGACTATTAATGGTTGTACAGTGTCCAACAAAATACTAGACCCTTGTCTATTATTTTATGCGGCCTGCTAAAGCGCGAGTCCTTTATGGCTATTTCGAGAACAATACAATGAGAGTCGTGACTACTAAAGCTCATAACTTCGATGTTCCAACCCATTGTGAGATGATGAATTCTCTCGCTCAATGGGCTTTCCCATGTCTACATTATTATATTGAAACGGTTGGGTCTCTCACTGCCATTGAGGAATGTAGCCAAGATGGATCGTAAGACGAGCAAGATGGAAAGCGAAAGACCCAATATATGTCGCAATGCTTTTCAAGGCTTTTAGCCACTATTTAATCACATTTACTCTTTATGTGAGACATTACATGGGGAAATAAATTTGACACTATTACTTCCATCACGCTTCAGGTAGTTACATAGAAAAAAGTCCCGTAATATAACCGCCGGGATGGAAATGTTCTTCGCCTCACACCACCAATACCTCATCACAATACAAGACACTGAACAACGACAATCCCCGTTCTTTTACCGCCACAGGCTCCAGCTTTCTCCCTCATGCCCATCTCCAACCAACATCAAGAGCCACAAAAGATACTCCTCAATCAACGTCGTTGATGGGAGAGCTGATTAAATGCTGATAGCTGATTGAGGTACCTTTTGAATTTCCTGGTTTATGTTATTATTGAGGGCCAAGGGGATGAAAGAGAATGCCTCTCATCGCCAGGGAGATATGAAAAGAAAAATTAGTCATTCAGTTTTCAGTCGATGTCTGATACAGTACAGCCGGTATAGCTGTGGGCTAAACCAGTCACTAAGCAAGATAATTATACGTTGCTGCTGTAACCTCAATACTTCAGTCGTATAGACGGTTGTGTGCTTCTATATGAACTACAATTCCATGGGTCTGGAAGCACAAAAAAAAAAAAAAAATAGAATTATCCAACCCGAGACGCCTATCCCCAACAAATTATCGATGGCATAACGTCAAACCCGTCCAAAATCGGGTTCGAGGTTTTGAAATAATATACACAAAAAGCACAGGACGTTAAGCCCCAAAGCACGCTCAGCCATGCACCTATCATGTCATTAAATTAATGAGTATCAATTCATACGTGGAGTCTCCCATCGCCCCCAGATGGTGGGCCCAACACGGTTTCCTGCACCTGTTCGGTGACTCCGCCCAGTCTGCTAGCGACACCAAGAATACCCATCTCGACATCTCCAAGCACTGCGGCGAGGTCGTTGAGAGCAGAGCTTGACGGCCCAACGGCGGAGTCGTCGCGGCTCCGGGATGCCACAAACTCGTGGACCTGGCGGTTCAGGGTGACTTCGACTCCATGGAGATGGTCTTCAATCTCCTTCGTGTGTCGCGTGTACCGGTCAAGGACAATGGCCATTTCGTCGGAACGCTGTGAGAAGTAATCGACCAGGTTGACAGGGACCCCATTGATAGAGTTAGCGGTAGCTGGGTCGCTCTCAACATCGTCGGGGAGCGCAAGCGTGTTCTTGCGCGTGGACCGGAGCGACTGCTTCTGGTCTGGAACAGACCACCACCCAGCATCTCCTGTAGACTGGTACTGCAAAGGCAACTTCAGGGTGTCAATGGCGCGGAATGCAACTTGAGCCTCCGCTGCGTCGCGAGACACCAAGCTGCGAAGATGATCGATATCAGTTGCGTCATTCTCGAGTGCCCTTTGCATGGTTTCGAGTTTCCCTTCAACGAATTCCACGTCATTCGGTATTGTGGAACCCTGGTTGGCAATGGTAGGGATCAGATTCCCAACCTCGTTGCACATATTAATCTGATTCAGGACAAACGTGTCAAAGCGCTCGAGCTCTTTCCGGATTTCATCAGCGCAGCTTTCGTATTTAGTAGTTGGGAGGAGGTTGCTGAGGTCCACCTTGACTCCAGGAACAATTGTCCCAGCTGCAGTAGATTGTTGCATTGGTTGTTGCGCCGTAGTACTCTGGTTTCCGAACAAGGACAGCGAAGGCTTCTGGGCCTGTTGTTGCTGTTGTGGCTGCTGAGTTGTAGTATTATTTCCTCCGCTATAAATTGAGAAATATTAGCCCATGATTGTTCCCATGATTTGCGACTTTCAATACTACTCACAAGAGTCCACTGCCGCCTGTCGCCACTGAGCCCCCAAGACCTCCACCGAAAGCAGGCTGGGACTGCGTCTGTGTCTGTGTCGCGGAGCCACCTCCTAGGTTTCCGAACAATCCTCCGCCACCAGTGCTAGGCTGGGCGGTGTTGTTCCCGGCCCCAGATGTCCCTGCAAACAACCCACCAGATTGAGGCTGCGATGTAGTCGCCGTAGAGCCCCCAAACAAGCCTCCGCCGGTGGCATTGCTCTGTTGTTGTCCTCCCCCTAATCCCGAAAACATATTCGAGCCCGAAGACTGTTGCTGTGTATTTCCGCCAAATAAACCGCTGGCAGGCTTAGGCGTGGTTGAACCGCCCAAATTTCCGAACAATCCTCCGGATGTGCTCGTTGTGCCGGGAGTACTTGTCGAAGTCGATTGGGCGTTGCCACTGTTAGAGATAAGGTGGTTGTTAGCCCTTGGCTGTTTGGCGGTGATCAAAACAAAAGCATTGTACTGGTTTCTGGCGCTATGCGGATGCCATGTGTGACACTGTCGTCTGGCGCAATACGACCCCAGAATATATGTGATTGGAGACAGGTCTGCATGATACTTACAATAGAGAGTTCGCGGAGCCGGTATTGACAGACAGGCCACCAGTTGAGGGCGCCGAAGGTTTGGCGGAGAACATAACTGTGGCTTTCTGGAGCTTGCAAAGCCACAGATTCCGGAGAATATGTGAGGAGTGGAATGCAAGGAAGGCCGCTTGTTTTTTCCCTACCCTTCTACCCTTTAAACGAAAATGGGTGCGTTGCTTGTAGCTGTTACTGGGCTCTTGTCGGTGATGCAGTCGAAAAACAAAAGTCGCAGATCGGAGATACGCGGAAAAATGATCCACCGAGTCCGAAGAGTCTAACTTCACAGCTTCACAATCGCCGAATTTGGTGAAGTTCTGTCGCCCGATTTTGCTGTTCTTTCGATTTCAAAAGGCGGCTGTGGATTTGGCACAGGATAATATATTCTTACTTGCTACTTTTGGAGCCGCTATATGCAATTTCTGTGCTCTATCAAAGAGTCCGTAGTCAGGGGGTTGTTGGTCTTTTGGATAGCTTCACTGCGGTTTCCTTTCACTACTTGGATTGAGTCCCTGTCACTAAGATTTGGACCCTGGCTTTATTCTTTCCATCTATGATATAGTGTAATCTCCAAATTCATGGTGCGCTAGCTATCCATAGGATACTTCATGCATTTTGGCTGCAAAGCTGTCCTTTCCATAACACTGTTTGATTGCTGTTGACAAAGGGCTTTTCATACAGCCTAGGGGATGATTCCTACGGGTGGGTCGTGCCAAACAAAGGACATAATGGCTGAAGAAGTGTCCGACTGGAAGCCCATCTGCGTGGCTTCGACGCAGGGCAATAACAGCCCCCGAAGTCTTGGGCCAAATGCAGGGAGGCCTGGCCATGGATATTCAGGTTACTCACCATCAAACTATTTCAAAGGCGCACAGTGGTTCGTTTTACATAGCTCCCCCGGTCTTACATGAACAGTTGGCTAACCTGTTCGCATTGTAGGTCGCCCGATGGCACGACTCTTATGACTGATTCAGCAGATCACCATATCAGAACATTCATTTTGTAAGTTGAGCTACCTTGCTCTATCAGATCTTGCTGACGGGAATCAGGCCACCAGACCTCTTGGATGAGAGAGCCTCACCACACGAATTGTCTTCGTATTCTACCTTTCCGTCAGCAGAGCCCACATATGCCACCGCCATATACCCCTACTACTCGCTTCAAGATCCGTCTACTACATTATTTCTCTCCTCAGTCCGAGATCACCCGATTAAACTCACGTCTGCTCTTGCTCCAACCACTATGGCAACTTATTCCCTAATTCATCCGACCACTGAGGCCTTCATTGCGCCGCACACCATAATATACCCTTCTATGCTTGGGGGCACGCATTTTCTCACGGGGTCAGACAGTCTTATTTGCTTGTTTGATATTTCCCGGCCAGGGAATGACGGCCCTGTCTCTTGGATGCCTACGATTCCTAGTAAACGAAAACAGATCGTGGGTGGAGGTATCGGTATGAAGGGTATTGTGTCAGCGATGGCAGTCAATCCAGTCGGAGATGGTATACTTGCCGCAGGTACCTTTACGAGACAGGTCGGCCTTTATGATTCCAATGGATCCGGACAACTTCTAGGCACTTTCAGCGTCGCCAAGACAGAGGCTAATCGCGAGATCGGTGGTCGAGGAGTCACGCAACTTCTCTGGAGCCCGTGTGGAAGGTATCTTTATGTTTCTGAGCGAAAAAGCGACGGAGTGCTGGTTTATGATATTCGTGTGACGGGGCAACTCCTTGGGTGGCTCCGAGGCCGCAAGGCATTCACGAACCAACGGATGAATATGGATGTCGTGCCGTCAGGTGACGGCGATTTCCATGAGATCTGGGCTGGGGCAACCGACGGGTTCATGAGGGTCTGGCGGAATCCCACCCATACGGCTGGTGGCAAAGATCCTGATTGGGAATGGAAGGTTCATAACGGTAAGTGCCTACCTTCATATTTTGCGAAATGGAAACAGCTTATTAATGTAGCACAGACTCTGTGACTAGTACTGTGCTCCATCCAATGGGAACTGTGGCAGCTACATGCTCGGGACAGAGACACTATCCGGACGATGCCAGTGATGATAAGAATAGCTCTTCTTCTACTGTGGAGATTGACAATACCTTGAAAGTCTGGTCAATGCCGTTTCTTGGAACTCAGTCAGATGGCTAGACTTTGTCGAAGTCAAGATCTGTGTGACTCGAGAGAATGCTGATTGACTAAGGCTCAGCCCTAAAGGTTTCATAATCTCGAGAACAGTCTATAAAGCCGGAATTTGCCTCGATTGTACGCTATGGAATACTCAGCGAGCGTAGGCTCACGTACCTATGGGTATTACCTTTGTTTAGGTAACTAATTCTAAACATCATATGCTCGACCTGCGGAAACGTGAGACATTTTCAACTTCTCTTTACGGTGCTTGGATTGATAGCATCGAATGACCATTTGACGCTACTTTTCCAAAGAGCTAATTAGGTTGGACGGGATTAACTTGGTTATGTTTATATTCAAATTGGTGGCCCCCTCCCATCTTCTGATGGAAGGCCCCAAGCAGGCTACGCCAGGTCATCCTTTACATATATTGAAGCGTGCTTGATGGAATAACCGGATACGAAGATGGAGTCGTCACAATTGTTGACTCGAGTGTCAACAATTGCCTCGAACCGCGGAGCTCAGATGGCACTGGAGAGGTTGGGGAAGCAATTCAATGATATCTACTCTGAAACAATATCTGGCGAAGAGCTGGTGTGGTTTGTGTCTTCACCTATGGAAACTACCGTGTGCTTAGTCGATGCAAACACTTCTCACACTGGGGTTCTGGCAACGACGTTTATGAAGTTTGCCTTTCCATCAGAATCTCAGGGTGAATGATTGTTGATATCGCGTCTATAAACGACGCGACTAGCGCGCCATTCACTACTATAAATACTCGCAGCCCTAGGCTATTTCTCTTCGACTTCTTCTTTTCTTTAAACGCGCTCTTCGCCACCTTTCTTTCTCAACTCTCTCCATCTTCCTCCACACCAACTTCAATTTTCCTTCACTCTTGCCAACCCCTACGAACCAACTTGACATTCACCAACTATTTTTCATCTCTCAACCAAACTTCGAATCAATATCTTTAGTCACCTTCTTCGTTCTTGGATCTTGTGCCTTTTCTTGTTTGTCTAAAGAATCTTTGTTGAGCGCTCTGGTCGCACGTTACGTGTTTTCTCATCATGTACAATTGCAACGAGCTTTTTGACGATATGGATACGAAGCTTCAGGGCCCTGTTAACAATGGTGGGGTCAATATAAACTGGGAGAATAATATGATGGACTCGTGAGTTGATAATTTCGTGGCTGTCGCTTGATTGTTTTTTCTAACAGAAAGAAATAGCCCCCAGAATGATACACACCTGGCTGTTGATGGCGGACGATCAGACGGCAGTGAAGGCAGCTTCGACGAAACAGACCATGACGGCTCGCCGGGCAGAACGCAGGTGATTCAGTCTGTGGAGGATGATATACACTCTGGCGTACCTTTTGGTGAGGGTTTGAAACGGCTGGAGGAGGAAGCAGCGCCACACCATCATCCTACCAATTACGCCACATCGTTCTCTAGCGGCAGTTCCAATCCTCCACGCGGATTGTTTACTCAAACCTCAGCGAGCTTGCCAGTCCACGAGGCAAACCAACGTTTTACAACTACACGGGATCACAGTGGCTATATTGCAGTTCATCCTTTCTATCCTCACTGTCCCGCATTCGCAGCTCATCCGCATGGCATGGGACATACCTATTCCAATGAGCGTCTGAATAATAATTCAGATAATACCAAGTATGCACCCTTGGTCAAACGATAGACTTATGATTTGACATTTATATTGACCATCTCACAGCTTTCTCGTCCCTGACAAATCGGAAACCTCACCAAACCCTCGCCCATCTTCTCATCCAACTAATGACGGAGATTCGATTTCCATTGGCTCCCGCAATGAAAGCCCCACTGGTTCTACCGGTCGTCGCAAGAAACCAACCGTCAAGACGAATTACGCATCCGCCACTCCTCCTGATATGAGTGCAAGACTGGCTGTGTCGACAAGCAGTGAATCCTCAACTGACGATGCCTCTGAGACTGACGAAGAAGATCTGCCCTACTTGACTTTCGTCGATCCGGTCGTTCCTGACTTTGTACCAAAAATGTCAGACCTTTTGAACGTGAAGTATAGCAACGCCGACCAGAACACGATTTTTGAAACTGCCGAAGCTGCTAATCGACTTATTGGTGCTGACCCCGCTCCTAAAGACAACACACTTCCTCGCACCCAAGCGCAGCGTAGGGCTTTCGTCAAGGCCGTGTTCAACGCGGTGAAAAGCACCGAGCATGCGGAGGACAATCCGGGTATGATTAGACCGTTCGCGGAAGGCAAATATTCAGACCGTCGGATTGAAGTTTTAGCTTGGAATATTTTGCATACTTGTGTCGTCCGCCATACAACGGGAGCTCTGTTGGCGCCGTTTGACGTGAAGAAAAAGGGGACCACCGAACTGTCCACTTTCGCTGACCGCATGGCAAAAGTTATTGAATGCCTTACGGTGAGACAGCCCGAAGCAACCCGTTTAATGGTACAAAAGACTGACTTGCATCTCTCAAGACCCAGAAAACGATCTGCAAGCATTTGCTCGACCCTTACTACCTATTCCAGTTTGTCGACGATCCGGTCGCATCTCAAAAGCGTGTCCTTGCGAACAAGAACCTCAATAAACGTAAAGGCGATATCATGAACGCTGGAAAGAAGATAATGAGTAAATCCAGCATCGTTGGCTCGCCACAGAGCAAAATCGACGATTCTTTCGCCAGCGAAACACCGTCGAGTTTCGGACCTCCCCATGACATGACTCCCTCCAGCACCCAGGACGTAAACGATTCAGAGCAGACCATCACCCCCGACGGAACCATAACCGAAAGCATGATGGCACGCAGTTTCAACTCTTCAGCTTCTCCTGCGGCTCGTCGCGCCTCGCTTAATCTGGGACCAGGTGGTACTATCACTCCTCACCACATACCACACAATGCTCAACAGTTGTCTCCGTCTCCTGCTCCCAAGAGTGGCGCTGCTGCAGCTCATATCCGCAGGTTCCATGAACGTCGCTTGTCCAACCTTGCTGCTCAGCGTCGGGCCCAGAACGCTCGTACTCCGAGTCACTCTCGCAACAATTCGATCGATGGTTCTCTGACTATGAGCTTCTATGCTCCAGAACAACACCATATTATAGCTGGAAGTACGTCTGGGAGGCTCAGATCTGAATCTACGAGTACGACTGCTAGCCACAAGCGTCGCGCGTCTGAAGTGGACGATGTCGAAGAAAATGAGTCTCCGAAAAAACGACGCTGAAGTGAGACAGCTTGATCTGGTCTTCACGAGTTATGACTTTCAATTTACGTTCTAATTTTTTGTCGATACCATTTGATCCCGATTTGGTTCAATTCTTCGCTATTGGTACTAGGCGCATTTATGCCGGCGTTTATGCTGGTACGGCTATCTTTGCATCATGCTACGCGATTTACGAATTTCCTTCAATATGGCTCACGAATCTTTTCATTTCTACCAAAAGCTCAGGAGGTTTTCTGTTCGTCACAGTTTGGGTGGAATCTTGTTCGCTTCTTGTCCACACACATAATGTTCTTGGTCGCTGTCTGACGGCCTTTGACACCGTTTAGACTAGACTATTCTTAAAAAGTATCTTCTCATCTCATTCTTCTTGTTCTATGGCTATTTGGGCTTATTTTGTTTCGTCTCGTCTTGTTTCTTGCTGATACATTGGAGGTGTTGATCTGGCTTAGCCCTACCGCGCCGTACTACCAAAAAAAAATATGTCGTTTGGTTGTTCCTATTTCCTATGTTCTATTGATGTTGTTGGGGAAATTGTTGTAATTTTAATAAACAAAAATCTAAATTTGTGTCTTTCTCTATTCTCTCAAAGAATCCTGCTTGGATATCTATGAGAATTAACTTATACGCAAAGAAATAAATTGTGCGCATGCACATAGGCGCGACCTATCTACTCTACCGGCTGAATCCCATACTTTCCATAATCAAAGTCCACCAAACTCCCCACCAACTCAGCCCACCCGTCCCCAATCGTCCCAATCTGTCCAACATCATCCAACCGCCCCTTCTTCAACGCATCCGCCTCCTTCTCCGCCTCCGTCTTTTCTTCCTCCTTATGCTCCCCCGTCGCCCCAGCCAAAACTTCCTCTTCACGCCCCTTATATGCCTCCAATAAACCCGGATGTGGACACCAAATAACCCGCATCCCAGCCCTCCGCCCAGCCTCAACACCAGGCACCGCGTCCTCAAACACAAGACACTCCTCGGGCTTAACCTCCTCCTCGCCCTTCACCCTCAACCCCGCATTAATCGTCTCCAGTGCAAGTAAATAGATATCGGGCAGCGGTTTACCCCGTCCCTTCGCAATCCGTGTATCATCGCCCAATACTTTCTGCGACGCAGGAAACACATCGAACAACTCCTGAAGATGCTCCGTCTTCATCTGGTAGTTCTTGCTATGTGAGGATGTTGCGAGGGCGAGATGTACCGGGTTCTCCGTGTCTTTCGTCGAGGATAGTCTGGCTAGAAGGGTTTCAACGCCGGGAAGGGGCGCGGATTCCGGGAAGAGTTTGGCTTGGAGAGTCGCTTGTTTCTTGAGGTATTCTTCGGGAGTTATGGGGAGTTTCGCCCAGTTGTGGAAGATTCGGCTTGCCTGTTGTTCAATCAATGTTAGCTTACTTCAATGCGATCTGTAATTTGTTGGCTGTGTATAGGTGGGTAGTGTACCTCCGGCTGCGGCCGGCCCTGCAATTGCGCCTTGATATTCCAGGGGAGTAATGGCTTTCCGTATTCCTGGAGGATCGTGTTCGTCACGATGGTGTATTTGTCCTCCGTGTCGAGGAGGAGGCCGTCCATGTCGAAGAGACATGCTCGTACGCGGGGGAAACTGGTGGGGTGTCAAATGGCTATCCTTCGGGATATATGGTGCCTGAGGGTAGATATTTATTTAGTATAACGCACCTAGGAGAGGTCATTGCTGATTAATGTATACTGTATCACTACGTGAGTAACTGAGGATTGTAGAAGGTGGTGTCGAAAACGAGCTGAATGACTGCATGATTGCGGGGGAGATACGGTTTTCCTGAAAGGGTATAGTGTCATGTTAATCTTGGCGTCCAGGGAAAGGCAGCCCTACACTGGCTAGACTTGCTACAGACAAAAAATAAAAGAGTAACATGTCTATTCCTCCTGAAACATTTGGGACTATGATACCGCTGGCCACTCGGAGTTGCTCGTATTCAGTATGTATTGTCGTAGGCAGACGATGAACTATCTTCGAAGCGGGCTTCCTTGTATCCGACATTGAATGCGGCAATGAGGGCTCTGGAGACGCCTATGAGAATTCGTCTCTTAAGAGGTCGCAATTTGGCTTGCCTTTGAAGAACGTAATCGGCTTGAGAGGGTACTTCGGAAGCCTTGTGTCTCCGATGGGCTCGCAGTTCCGTAAATCACTGGCTGCTGTCATAATGAAGTGAGCCATACAGTTAGATCAAGGCGTTGACCCTAAGATAGTTATGAAGTTGGGGGAAGAACATACAGCTACTCTTCCTATCAACTACAGCAACAAATAACGCCGACGCCAATTAGATGGCCATGACTGGAGACTCAAAAACAGCGTGTCGACCATTATGGCGATAGCTGGCTGAAGGATCTTTCTTCTAGCATCAAGAGATAGCAATTTAAGGGGAAATAGCAATTTCGGGAGGTATTTTATATAGAGTATGGTCGCCTGCAATACGGAGAAGGCGGTTAATGGCTATTCTTCGAGGTCGATGAAGAAACATTCTCTCGCGGTTTTCTCAACGCCAAAGACACAAAGTACACCTTGGTCTTCCTTCAGTACTATTGAACGACTCCTACTTATAAAATGATGTTTTATGAGCACGCCGCTGCGCAGGGCGCATTTAGCGATGCGCTAATCTAAGCTCTGACGCCGATGGGTCTCGGACAGGTCTTGCAGCCATATGCGGGTGCGATCATCAGGGGCGACGAAAAGGACAACAAAAAAGAAGATAACACATGGAGTCCATTACGGCCACTGCGCAGTCATTATCGCAACTAGCCCACAGTGGTACTCGAAGTCGCCGTCTCCGAATCTCAACCGAAGCTTCAATCGGATGTTCGCTTCTGGTTATGGCAAGCCAAGGCAAAGTCAACATCGTCTTTTACACTGACAGTTGACCGCCAGAACCCCATAATTTTTTGAGAGATGGGAGTCGGTGAGCGACCGCAAGTATCATACTCAGCAAGTCATGGTATACCAAAGTGCAAACAACCTTATATACACAGCCGGCGACCACCCTACCATCGATTTCCCAAGATTATTTCTTTGGCGATACTAGCTGTCCCAAAGAGGCAGATATCCCATTCCCCCAGGGTGTTCTCGAGGGCTTCGCGATTCCAGTTTGACTCGCTCAGAAGTTTGATGTCTGAGACATCGCTTAGCTTTGTCTCAATCCTAACATCATATTTAACAATCCCGACTATCCAAAGGTCACCGGCGGGCCAGTGACTCAAGTGACTATACAAAGGTCAGACTGATTACGCATCTAGATCAGAGAAGTCATGTTCGAACTGTACCTCTCCACTGGCACATCCGCTAGAAAAGACATCCATTAGGGCAGGCTCCCGGCTGGGTGAAAAGAAGCCCTAAGCGGAGAAGTCTTTGTTATTGGATAGTGGACGGTGGCAAAAAGATAATTTGACCCCCTTCAGAATATCGGCCCACCAAAGTCAATCCGGCCCCCGATCTCTGGGTTGTCCAAGAGGGCATCCTGGCAATGGCACATTAGTCTGGCATGGTGGCAATGATCAGCTTGGACGGCCGTGCGATAAAAACTTAAACCATTGCTGATCCGGTACAACCCTCTATCGGTTCATCCATACCTGGCTTGACAAGACATAAGGGTAACATGTCTATTTCTTGTAGAGACAAAACTACTGTACACTAGCTATCTCAAAAGATAATGGCAACATTGCACAGATAGCCGTAGAAAAAAAAGGAAAGGGTATGTCATGTAAAATGAAATGTGGCTAAATGCACACAGATGATACGATAAACGAAATCCAATAAAAGCGCCTGATACTACACCGCGAAAATGCCAAAGATTACATACGAAATTGCAAAAAAAAAAAAAAAAACGATCATTGTCCCGGCGATGTCGGATTGCTCGGCAGATACTCAGCCGGTACCTTGGGTACACGTGGAGACCCGATGGTCTGCGCCATAGCACGTTGCTGCGCGCGGATCATTTCGCGCTGACGCTCTTTTTCGCGGTTTGTCGCGGCGCCACCTGTAAGTCGTCTCATTCCGCTTCGGATCATGGACTCGAGAGAATGTGATCCATCTGTCACGCTCCGCGTTGGCGGCCCTATGGGATGCGAGATTGCTGGTTTGTTGATTGTCAGGCGTTCGTCCATGTCAGACATACTCTCTTCAGGCTCGTCATCAGAGAAGAAAGCTGATTCGTTGAAACCAACAGAAGGAGTTGGATTCTGTGGGTTGGATGTTGGCGAGAACAGATTATTCACTGGGGATGTGATCGAACGAGTATGCGAGACTGGATATGATACTTGAATAGGCGCGAGGGGTGGGGTATTTGTCACATTGCTGCTGTCGATGCGCAGGTTAGGCGGTCTAGACTCGGCCAGGCCATTATGGAATGACGACGATGAGGCAGTTCGCGCGAGAGACTTGCGAAGAATTGGTGCTGTCTGTTGATCGTAGCGATTTTCGCAGGTATCCACGTAACTACCGGAGAACCCTGACAACATGGTGTCTGAAGCAGGTGTCATTGACGAATTAATCGTTTCTGTCTCCTCAAAGAAATCGTCAAGACTATCCAGTTTCGATACAATGTCTCCCATATTGCCATCCATCTGCGTGTCAATCGACTTCATCGTGTCGGCCCGCATAGGGAAGAACGAGTCATTGTATCCGTCCGTGTGGAACTCCACCTCCGTAGGAGCAGTTTCTTGCGCCTCCATAAGGTCAACCTCTGCACAGGTGTAAAACACAGCGTGGACGTTGTGTCGCGTGATGCTTGACTGTGTGGCAGGCATCGGGATCGACCACCCGGTAGGCTCGGGTATACCGTACAAACTCTGGATCCGCTCGTATTCCTTGCGAATTGCCCGTGATGATGAAGACGACGCCATACTCATCCGAAGATGATGCCGCTCCATAGGATTGCCTGAAACAGTCATAATATGATCCATGACTTGCAAAGCTCGAGGACAGAGATCCGTTTGCAGGAGACGTAAGAGAGGCGAGATCAGATCAGGTCCGTGACAAGTAACCTCTCCCCTTCTCATATCAATATCCGGTATCAACACACAGAGAATCTTCATAATTTTGATCCGGAACCAGTCGGTCGTGTTGGTCAACAAGCCCATGAGGAATATTAGACTGTAAACGTCCTGTCGCGGGAAATAATACGACCGGATCTCCGAGATAATGTGGTTCAGGAAGTCGCCCTCTGCCTTATACTGCCCATTAGCAAATCCTAGAAGGGAGGCTGCCAGTCGCGGACAGTTCTCGCTTTCCGCAACGCGAGCCAACATGGTAGCACGAGCAAGAGTCTTCGGGTCGTCAACTTCCGAATCAAATTGGTAGAGAAAATGGGCGAGGTTGGCCAGGATAGTAAACAATAAACGAGACCCGTCGCCAATAAGTTGGTTGTTGGGAAGTCCACTTAATCGATGCAGAATATCCAATGCCCGACTGAAAGACTCCGAAGACTTCAACCCCTTGTAGACCAGATTCTGAAGGCCATCAAAGCCACCTTCCCATCGGGGCGGCTGTCCCTCGATAAGCTGTGTTACTACAGCCGGGTCGCTCATGTCGACATTGTCCATGAATTTCTCGAGCATGCCAACGCTCTCAATGAACTCCGTCTCGTGAATCGTGTTCAAACATGCGCAAGTAGTCCAGAAAAGCTGGGGATACCGCAACAAATCAGCGGGTGACAGAGAACTGATGATAATCTTAAGCGTTGTAAGTATCTCCATGGAGAATGTCTGGTAGTCAGCTTCTTCATCGGCAATCGTGTTGGAAAGTCGAGCAAGCATATCCGCAAGCATCCTAGAGTCCAGCGACGTGGAAATACAGCGGAAAATCTGGAACGATCGACAAGCAAGATGGCGGACAGGGCAGGATGCCGCCCAATTCAATGCCTCCTTTGCCCAGAGATCATTGACGCCTTCGTAAGCAAGGTTGAAAAAATCGACGACTTGACGGGTTACCGTAGACATTGACAATGGTACTCGGCTCGCCTCATCGATATCCTCCTTGTCACTGTTGTCCTCGTAGTCCCAGACAACCTTCGCATCACTCTTGCGGATAGACTCCACGAAATCTTCGACGACCTGACGTGTTTCCACAGGCCCATCATCCTCAACTTTCGCAGCCACCAACTCATGAATCAGATGCACCAACATTTCTCGAGCCTGCTCTTGCACAGTGACCGTGTAATGATCCCACAGGATAAGGACAACGTGAAGCAACTTGACAACGTCTTCCAATACCAGAGTAACTGGAGCAACCATCAAATCGACCAGGAAAATAAGGGCGACCTGACCAAGTGACAGGCCTGCCTGCTTGTTGCCAACTGGCAACACGGCGCCCAAATCCGCGACGTACGGCAAGCTCTTAGTATCTGGAGGAGCCGGGGTGATCTCCTTCCTTTCCTGCACCATGTTCTTGGGGACGACCTGCATCAGGAAGAACTCGATCACCTTTGATCCAGCGAGTGTCCCAGATAGGAATACAACAACTTGTTTGGCATATTCAACAAAATTCTGCTCCTTACGTTCCAGGCAGAGGTTGATGATGAAGTCGAGTACCAGCTGCACATTTCCACCATGAGGACCGGTAGCCAGAGCCTGCCAGAGGGCTTGTACCTCGTTCGGTAATATAGTGCTGGATCGGATGGTTATCTCAAACAAATTTGCGAGCAACATATACGACTTGGCTGTCGGGCCACCGTTGGGATCAACCTGGAGTTCCATTGTTTGCACCCACGGCAGAATCGCAGCGACCATATTCCGCTGGCTGTCGGGCCGAATATTTCTGAAGTGCAATGCAAACTCAGAAAAGAGAGTGAAAGCCAAGTCTGAGTGCTGCCTTGCCAGTCTCTTCGACGTCTCAAACTGGGCGAGTTTGTAGACAGCCGTGGTCTTGTCAGAAATGCTGATGTCGAAATCTTGGAGTCGGGAACTCTTCTGCTGACGTTCTTCTAGAATCCGAAGGAGCTTAGCAGACTTCATTCTTATCTCGCGCTTCTGATTGCCGAGAGTAACGAGCACAGCACCGAGGATTCTCCAGAAGTTGAAATGATAATCGGTATTCTCTATGAGCACCTCAGTGACTACTTCAAAATAGCTCTCCAGTGCTTTCGGGCGCTCTGTAACGTAGCACATCTCAATAGACCGTTCGAGCAGGTACGAATGCTCTTTGTTATGGATGATGAGATTCTTGAGTGCCCGCCTGCCAATTGCGTGCCACTTATCGCTGATGGTGTTGAAAATGATATCAATCCATGACAGCATACGTCCAACGTCAAACTGAAGTACCACACCACTTTCTGTAGTGATACTAATCGAACCTGCGCAAAGCGACGCCATGGCACTCAGAGCAGCCGCCCGTAGGTTCTTTTTCTCAATTTCCATGGCAGCAGCAGTGTTACGCAGTTCGCCCTCATGATGGGCGAACTTTCGCATGTGCTCCTCCCTTTGGGAGATCTGGGGCTGGTTGGGTGAATATCCACACCAATCCTCCATCAGCGAAAAGGCAGACTTCCGTGACTCGAACGGAATCCAGCGAGAAGATTCTTCTATTCGGTTGATAGCCTCGAAGAGCTCTTCCATCAATCCACAGTAGTGGAACCGTAGCCGTTGGAACTCCCAGTCGTTCTGGACTTCTGAGTCGCTTAGGAATATGCGCAGGTCCTTGGTATAGGTGACGAGGTTATTGACAATCCAGTCATCATTGTACACCTCAGGCTCACGAAGGAAGTGAGAGGTCAGCTTGTACACATGCGTGACTTCCGTTCGTAGTCTATCTGTTTTTCTGCTGCGTCGGGGACTGCTTGGAGACCGGTAATGTACGCCGATTCTCATCTTGGCTTCTTCATTGCAAGTCGTCACGGCGTATTGCAATGATTCGAGCAAGGTGCGGTAAAGGTTCTTGTTGATCGACCCCAGGGCTCCCACAATAGCACTCCGGATAGAATCACGTTCAGCCGACAGTAAGGGGATGACGAAAGCAAACAGACTCCGGGCTGAGCTGATCTTATCCTGCGATTGCTGCTGGCCCTTGGACGATTTGCGGGCATGCTGAGCATTTGCCAATTGACTCTGCGACTGCGCACCAACGCTATTCAAAGTGGTGCAAGCCATAGCCAGATACAGCTTCCATTGTTCGATTAGAATTTCAGCTGTCATGCTGTTCCGACCAAATGTTCGAGCTTGTGTGACGTCCACGGGGCCATAGTAAGGAGGTCGAGGGTTCTCAGCAAGCGCAGTGATCGTCTTATGCATTTGTACCAGCCTTGCGCAGACTATCTCTCTGCCCAGAGTTACCGCAAAGGGACATGTCTCGAAACTGATACGAACAATGTTTGGAAATACCTTGGACCAGAGAGTCGAATCATACGACACCTCGCTGCTGCACAATTCGATAAGAGTATTTTGAGATGCACTCTTTCGCTTACCCTTTTGAATGCGACTCCTTTCGGCGATCGTGAGTTGTTCGTCATTGACATCGAAGATATGCTGCGAGTCTGCCTCGAGAATTCTAATGATTCTTGTGTTCTCTTTGCCCAAGGCGCTGTCAAATTCCGTGATTAATCGAAGCACTGTAATGGCAAACGCTCGGACTCTTCGTGATTGTGAACACAAGAAAAACAAACCGTGAGATTCGATTTCTTCGACATGTGCAAGGACGGTAGAAAGGTCCAGCTGCAAAGCCCGGCTTCCAGTACTCGACTTATCCCCTATATCTGTCCCAGCGCCCTTGGTCTTCTGTTTGATTTCCTCAATCCAGATCCCCAAAAGCTCAACATAGAGCCTTAGAGTAGATTCAATGTGTCCCGGTCCCAACATTCCTTCGTCTGACATTGTAGAGTATCTAGCATCAAAATTGAAGATGAACCTAGCAAATCCAATGGTAACTTGCTGCGCATGCGACTGCCGCGCGATAGCCTTGAGCGATTCGGCAGATGACGTCGCGATGTTTGTTTGAACGTGGGCGGTTCCGGTACACAACAGGTTGATCAACGAATTGAAAGGAATATGGTCAGACAGACAACGAGGAAGTGCCTGAACAGCAACGTGCATCAGATCATAGAAGCCCTGCTTTTGATCTCCTGTGTTTATATGGTCCTCACGCCGCGAGAAACCAAACGCCTCCGAAATGGGTGTCTTCGGGGTGGACCCGCCAAACTTCTCATCCAATACAGCCTGTCCGCCAAAGGTATTGTCACACAAGAGAGTTATTTTGCCCAATATCTCACAAAAACGAACGTAGAACCCCCTAATATTATCGCTCAATTTGGAGGTATTGACAGGACGCACGGGTGTTTGGTCCTCAGGAGTCTCTGTAGCACCTAGCACACGTGGATCAGCAAGGACTTGGGGCCGGTGCAGAGGAGCTGAAGTAGCTGAGATATCAGTGAAGGGGTTAGGGATCGATCCCGTGGGGAAAGGAGGACACAGTTGGTCACAATTCTCTAGGTCCGTCACAATCACAATGAAGGAACGAATCCCAATAACCATTTTCTCTGGTTCCATCTGCTCGATCTTCAATTCCTTATTAGACAGGAAGATATCTGAGTTAATCAAAGGAAAGATGACGTTTCGAATGCAGACGTCAGGATGCTTAAACCCAATCATGCGGATCAATTGGATTAGAGGTTCAGCAACGGCTGGTTCGGTGGTCAAGTATGTCCTCTTTCCTGGGGGAAGGGCTATCTTGGCAACTTCTTCGATTTTCCGAAGAGTGGTTGGAGGAGGATCCGTGTGGCGGAAGAAGTACGTCCAGAGTAGACGACACATGGCTTGTAGGGCGGGTCCCCTAGTAGGGCGATCCTTCAGTCGCGCGGGAAGACTCATGATGACCGGAAGCCATTGTGACGAAAAGGTCTCTTTGGACGAGACGCAAAGAAGCAGCACGTGTAAAGGAAAAGAGGCGGCCCAATGACGGGGTTTAGTGAGCATTTGCGACAGTCGAGATTGGACGAGCTCCAGAAACTCTTTCCATTTAGGTAGGGTTAGGTCACAACCTGGATTTGCAGCCACAGGTAAAAGCAACTTCTCAAAGATATAGCAATAGGCCTGCTTGATGCGCTGCCCATGAGCGTTGCCAAACAGACGTGCCAGAGATCGCATAAATTCACATGATTTCGGCCATGTATCTGATTGTGTTCTGATTTTCAGACGTCTCATTCCCAGGATAAGGAGCTCGACTCTTGCTTCCCCCTCTTTGGATGGACCTCGAAGGGTCTCCTCTTTCTGAAGCCGGTCCAACTCTGACAGGAAGCGAGTCGAGACGCTCGAGAAGTTGCTTTCACTCATGATGCCGAGCAGCTGACCATATATTCTCCAGTTCGCCATTCGAAGAGGGGAGGCTGAGATCTGGTCCGGATCCACAGTCTTAAGTTGACCAAACACGATATCCTCCAAACGGTCAGCCATGTCGAGCGTTATTGAGGCAAGGTTACTCTGGTTGAAAATCTCAATCAAGACCCGGCACACGAGGTAAACCGACACCGTGGCGCGTCGCTCAGCCAAGTGGACATCTTCTTGTCTTGATAAAAGGGTACTAGGAGGGGCAGACGGGTCGGTAGTAGCAGCTTGTGCTTGTTCGGCAGCCATCTGGAGAGGTTCAGTATTTCGTCGGAGCAGTGCAGCGGGCTCTGGGGGTGAGGGCTTTGGCTAGTGGTACATGGGTGTATTAGATTTGGGGGTCATGGTTTTGTTTGACTTCTTCATTGCATACCTGATGTGCTACGTGCTTGGCCGTGATCGCTGCATCCCCTTTGGCCTTTCGCCAAAACATAATAGTATCAATCAGAGGTTTTGGCTTTTGTCGTGAGATATGCCCGAGTGCTGAGATCAATTGATCAAAGGTCGGATCTGCCCCGGGGCCGCATACTTCTTCAACCGGGGCTTCCAACTCCCGTATTTTCAATATAGCCTGGTTTATTTTGTTGTCCGCCTGGCCGACAAACTGTTCACCATTAGCAAAGCCCACGCATTTTTTCCACGGGAGGGAAGTATATCTCACCGAGTTGAAAAGATGGTGCAAGGCATATTCGCCCACCGTCCTCAATTCAATGTAATGCCTCGAATGCGAACGACTATGGGAACGGTCCTGCCATGTTCTCCCGTTTGAATTCATCCTTCTATGCACATGACTTGCCGGACTGCTATTGACAATGCTCGGAATACCTTGATCCTCCGATGATCCCTGCATTCCATGACTCGAGCCGTGGGCTACAGGGCTCTGGTAGGTTGACTGCATATCGGGTTGTTCCAGACGTCCGAATGACGGGAGTTCGAGTTCATGTGTGCCAGCGCCACTGCCAATACCACCACCACGGTTCAGCGATGCGATCAATTCGGGACTCAGAGGACTATTTGAGGTCGACGAGGCGGCAAAGCTCGGGTTGCGGGAGTGTTGGATTCCATGAACGATCGACGTCTGGCGGTGATGGCCGTAGGAGGAATTGGATGGGCGTCGTTCTAATCCTTCATCATATCCTAACTTGGGGCGTGAGGGTCCAGAAGTCTCGGGGCTCTTGGAATGGGATTGACCGCGGCGGTTGTTTTTAGGTTGTAAAGACGAAGTATTCAAGGCGGAAGGATCCAACGCTCTCCCTCTAGTAGTAGTAGCAGAAGAGGCTTCCCGACTATGCACCGCAGATGTCGGAGTGCTCCTTGAAACAAAACGATCCGGTGGAGATGCGAGGCTATGGTGCGACACAGGGCTCGAATCATCGGGTATGAGGGGCATCGGAGTGGTGGATTGGACGGGGCCAGTCTTGATAAAAGGATGAGAAGCCACTAGAGAGCCATTGCGGAAGCATGCGAGTCAGTGGTAGCCTTTTTATTTTATTTTATTTTATTTATTTTTCCTTATGTGTCTGGCGGGTGATGTGCAGGCGCGTATTGCATGAACGCCGAGAAGGATGGTGGTGGAGGGGAGATAAATTAGAAGGCTGAACAGAGCTTCTCTCAAGCCACTTACTTTTGAATAAGATTATTAAGGGGTCTGCAGCGTCGATTCTTTCGGTTTTTGGCACTCTTGAAGCAGTATTATCTCGACAACGCTCAGCTCACTGCCCGAGGCTCATGCTTGTTGGGGTCGACTTGAAGGACACGATCCAGTCGCACATTGTCGCTCAATAGTCGATGGCAGATAGCATGAAGGAGAGACTCATGATGCTGGGTAGGGAATGTATCAGATTATAATTGTATGAAGAATGCAAGAACCCCCTGGAAAGAGACGATGATGAAGGAGGCTGGTTGTTATTCTTGAAGGGCGACCGGAAGAGAGGCGGAGAAGAAGTCGAAGCACGGGGATCATCCAGTTCAGGAGAGGTCAGGGAGAGGCATTTTGTATTGATCTTGAGGATGATATCTCCAGAGTAGAGGTATCTTCACTTTTTTTTGGATGTGTCTTGGTATTTCTTTGATTAGTATGATCCATTCATCTACGGAATATTCTATAGCTACCAGGAGTATTGGATCTCTCCTGTCTACGGAGTAGACAATAATTCAAGCAATCACACAACATTTCAGGGACATACAAAGCTCGAAACTAACTATAAGCCCAGATATATCCTCCGTTTTCCAGAAACATGTGGGGTGCGTTTTTAGTCTCCCCAACTTTGTTCAACGCTCACGTGCTGCAGTATGTGCAAGTATTTTATACCCCTGCTATGGATTTCGACAAAGTCAATTATGCTGTTGAGCAGATTTCAAGCAGTATGAGTAATTTGGCGAGCGCATAGTTTACCCAGGCTGAGTCCAATATGGAGTTCACTTCATACTCCGTACATGGGCACTACACCCGAGCATCACAATATCCGTTAAGCTAGCAATCGTACAAGCGATTGCTCCAATATGAACACGCTAGAACACGCACCATTCACCAATTGTTATCCATGCAGATCACGGTATCTTGTATCCCCAGGCAATCTCTGCAGTGATCCTCGGCAGAGTTTACATTTGGACCAAGCTGCACTCCGTACGACCTGGTATATGCAGTCGAGTCTTGGATATTCCAGTTCAAGTGCGTGCCATAGACAGACTCGAAGCACCTTTTATATCCTTCTCATCGACGAAACATGGAATTCATGGCCGCTCTTGTGCGGAATCTGTCCGTCCTCTTCCGTCCATGAGATTCCCACTCTGCCCTCCGAAACGACCGAAATGGCCATTGGACTATCATATGCAGGAATATATTGCGCTCTGTCCTGTACTTTGCCGTCATTGCCTAATTGTCCGGCTGCATTGAAACCCCGTCTGTCTGTCATTCGGAATATCACCTCCGACCGTACAGCATAGGTATATTCATGACAGCTCAACGTGATCGATCTCCGGTGTTAATTGTGGGGTAATATCAAGTAGAACTTTGGAAGGATGAGAGAATACCTCTTTACGGAGCATCTTGCCTCTTTTCTCGTCCCCCGGCTCTCCGTACACAGCGTGGGCGAAAGGCGGAACTCGGCTAGAGTCATAGTTCGGCAGGTTGTTCGGGATATTCCCCTCGTGATTTGACCGACAAAGGTGGAAGCGCCTCATTGCCACCCCCAGACTTGGACGGTCTTGTCCAGCTGGGGAAGACCTCGTGCCAAATTTCCAGTCGACCAAGCGCCGAAATCTCCTTCCGAGTCGACTGTTTTCTCGGGCTGGCGCTCGGGCTGACTGTGGTCGCCCCCAATCCCCCACCAGAAGGAGGATGTGGTTATATATAAGCGAGCGTACGCCGTAAAATTCCTTCTGTAGAGGACATTCTGTACTTTAATTTCTCTTTTCAGTTTGTCTGTTCCCGTTGTATAAGTGCAACTTCCCGAGCAAACATACAGATCCCCTGACCGCCCTGAATAGACACGCACTGTGGGATAATGCAACATCCCTCATAATAGTGCCGGTTCTCTTCCGCTATCACACCACGTCTATCAAATTGCTGTCCTTTTTCTTCGCCTTCTTTTTCTTTTTCTTCGTCTTCCCTTTTTGTTTTTCTCTCACTGTGCCATCCCTTTAGAGTGCCAATTGCTGCATTCGAGGGGCCTTTCATCTGGATATCTGGGAGGTTTTGCCCTCTGGTCTCTTCTCGCTTTCTTTCTTTTCCTTCCCCGCCCGGCTTGTCTTCAGCTTCCCGTTCGACATCATTAGCGCCAGGGGGTTTATTCCCTAGTTGGATCACTCGCCTGATTCGTTTCGGACCAATTGTCAATATGGCACAACTCGATATTCTCGATGTGGCCGTCCTGGTGGTGCTTTTTGTGGGTAGCGTTGCCTACTTCACCAAAGGTTCCTACTGGGCGGTCCCTAAGACCTCTACTGCGACTCCGGCCGCGAACGGAGCCGCAAAGCCTGGCAAAACTAGGAACATTGTGGAAAAGATGGACGAGACTGGCAAGAACTGTGTTATTTTCTATGGATCGCAGACTGGAACCGCCGAGGACTATGCGTCTCGATTGGCTAAGGAAGGATCGCAACGCTTTGGCCTGAAGACCATGGTTGCTGATTTCGAGGATTACGATTACGACCATTTGGACACTTTCGGCGAGGATAAAATTGCATTCTTCGTGGTTGCGACTTATGGTGAGGGTGAGCCCACAGACAACGCGGCCGACTTCTACCAGTTTGCAACTTCCGAGGACGTGGCTTTCGAGAGCGGTGCCTCCGCAGATGACAAACCCCTGTCTTCGATGAAGTATGTTGCCTTTGGCCTTGGAAACAACACCTATGAGCACTACAACGCTATGGTCCGTCACATCGATGCTGCCCTCACCAAGCTCGGTGCGCAGCGCATTGGCGCTGCCGGTGAAGGTGACGATGGCGCGGGTACTATGGAAGAAGACTTTTTGGCCTGGAAGGAGCCTATGTGGGCTGCTCTGTCGGAATCTATGACCCTGGAAGAACGTGACGCTGTCTACGAACCGGTATTCTCTGTTTCGGAGGACGACTCGACTAGCCCTGATGATGAGAATGTCTACCTCGGTGAACCGACTCAAAGCCATCTGGAAGGTCAGCCCAAGGGCCCGTTCTCCCCGCACAACCCATTCATTGCTCCCATCGTCGAATCTCGTGAATTGTTCAACGTCAAGGACCGGAACTGTTTGCACATGGAAATCAGCATCGCTGGAAGTGGTCTCAATTACCAGACTGGTGATCACATCGCAGTGTGGCCGACCAACGCCGGGGTTGAAGTCGATCGGTTCCTTCAGGTATTCGGTGTCGATGACAAGCGTAGCACGGTTATCAACGTTAAGGGTCTCGATGTTACCGCTAAGGTCCCCATTCCGACTCCTACCACCTACGATGCCGCCGTCCGTTACTACTTGGAAATCTGCGCTCCCGTGTCCCGTCAGTTCATTGCGACTCTGGCTGCTTTCGCTCCCGATGAGGAGACCAAGGCAGAGATTGTGCGCCTGGGTAGTGACAAGGATTACTTCCACGAGAAGATCACCGACAAGTGCTACAACATCGCCCAGGCCTTGCAGAGCCTTACTGCCAAGCCGTTTACTGCCGTTCCGTTCTCGCTGATCATCGAAGGTATCAACAAGCTCCAGCCTCGCTACTATTCCATCTCGTCTTCGTCTGTGGTGCAGAAGGATAAGATCAGTATCACTGCTGTCGTCGAGTCCACTCAACTGCCTGGTGCTTCCCACATCGTCAAGGGTGTCACTACAAATTATCTCCTGGCCCTAAAGCAGAAGCAGAACGGTGACCCTTCCCCTGATCCTCATGGTTTGACCTACGACATTACTGGCCCTCGCAACAAGTACGATGGAATCCACGTGCCTGTTCATGTCCGTCACTCGAACTTCAAGCTACCCTCGGACCCTTCGAAGCCGATTATCATGGTTGGTCCCGGTACCGGCGTCGCTCCTTTCCGTGGTTTCATCCAGGAACGTGCTGCTTTGGCTGCTAAGGGCCAGAAGGTTGGCACTACGCTTTTGTTCTTTGGCTGCCGCAAGAGTGACGAAGATTTCTTATATAATGATGAGTTCAAGGTTTGTTTTCCTTATTCATGCCTCTGATTCATTGAACTTGACTAACTCACTTTTGATAGATCTACCAGGACCAACTTGGCGACTCCTTGAAAATCGTCACGGCCTTTTCGCGTGAAGGTTCCCAAAAGGTGTACGTCCAGCACCGGTTGCGCGAACAAGCCACTCTCGTCAGCGATCTCCTCAAGCAGAAGGCCAACTTCTATGTCTGTGGAGATGCAGCTAACATGGCCCGGGAAGTCAACCTCGTCCTTGGCCAGATCATTGCCGAACACCGTGGCTTTGGACCTGAAAGGGGTGAGGAAATGGTCAAGCATATGCGTAGCAGCGGTAGCTACCAGGAAGACGTCTGGTCATGATATTTGCATTGGCTCCGTTTGTTCGGGTTCCTTTTCATTTTCTTTTCTTTTCATTTTTTTTTTTTTTTTTTTTTTTTTTTTTGTTAAATTTTTTTTTTTTTTTTTTTTTTTTTTTTTTTTTTTTTTTTTTTTTTTGGGAATGCGTGGACAATAGACAGTGATGGTACAGGAAGATTGCAATAAAAAAAGCATTCAACAAGCATTCGAACCTATATACGCGCTTCGTAGGCTGTTTTCGTACTCTAGCATAGATCGGTCATTGCGGAGTTAAGCCCGGCTTCGTCATGGGGACTTGCTCGGAGCTACCGCAGAGAACTTCGACTCTCCCCACGGCGCAATCTTATCCTCCATTCTATCGGATCCTTATGGGAGCAAACAACCACTGAAGTTATGTTAATTTTATATTTTATTTCACATTGAGCTTTTCCCCCTCCTGCTTGTATTCGATTGAGCGGCGCTCGTGACGACTCCCCGCAGTGGTTCACTACCAGCACCTGGATTGATAGCAACGACCGCCATCCAACTCTGAGAAAATGGCCTATGTCGTGCCAATCCACCGAGCAAGCAGCATCCGGCATGCACTGAAGCTGCAGTTCCTGAGACCAGAGGAGGAATCCTTGGTTGTTGCGTTGGTCTTGCCCCTCTCGTCCTTGGGAAGAGTCACCTCGACCAGCTTTGCTAACCATACGAGTACTGGATTAGGAAAGCAAATCGACTGGAATTCTACTCGTTGACTCCTGATGGGCTTTCTCTCACTGCTTCGCGAGCCCTCTATGCCCGGGTAACGATGCTAGCTCGGCTCCATGCCCCGGCCAATTCTCCCACCGATCACCTCTTCGTCGGAACCGATCAATACAGTTATTTTACATTATCGTGGGATAGCAAGAATAATCAGGTCTGCACGGAGCGGAATTTCGTCGATATTTCCGATCCATCGGCGCGGGAATCCCAGACAGGCAACCGATGCCTGATCGACCCTAACGGACGGTTTATGACACTAGAGATCCACGAGGGTGTAATTGTGGTTGTTCCCATAGTGCAACTGCCGACAAGGAAGAAAGGGAGGAGCCTAACGGTGGATTCTGGTCCCAATGCGCCGCGAGTTGGGGAGTTGGGGGAACCGGTGCTTTCGAGGATAGAGGAACTGTTTGTTCGTTCTTCGGCCTTTCTGCATGTACAGTCAGATAAGCCGCGTATGGCACTGCTGTACGAAGATAACCAGAAGAAGGTTAGGTTGAAGGTTCGGGAGCTTCACTATACGACAGGCACGGCTAGTACGCCTACCGAAGCAGTGTTTAAAGAGCCGGAGCCTTTTCTGCAAGACTTGGATCTAGGTGCCTCTCATTTGATACCTGTCCCAGCTCCACTAGGTTCGTCCTTTTGCATTGTCATATCCACAGGAAGATAACCTTGGTGCGGCTGCTAACAGAAACAGGCGGTCTGTTGATACTAGGGGAGACATCGATCAACTATGTCGACGTCGATAATAACGAGAGTTTCTCTCGATCTCTTGATGAAGCGACTATCTTCGTCGCGTGGGAACAAGTGGATAGTCGAAGATGGCTGCTTGCAGATGATTACGGAAGACTGTTTATCCTGACGCTTGTGCTGGATTCGAACAACCAAATTGGGAGCTTGAAGCTGGATCATCTGGGCAACACATCCCGAGCTTCTGTCTTAGTCTATCTCGGTGGAGGTGTTCTTTTCGTTGGGTCTCACCAAGGAGACTCCCAGGTGATTCGGCTTGAAAAAGACTCACTCGAGGTCATTCAAATTTTGTCGAACATCGCCCCTATCTTGGACTTTACGATAATGGATCTTGGAAATCGGACAAGTGAAAGTCATACGCATGAGTTCTCGTCGGGACAAGCTCGGATCGTCTCTGGCTCAGGTGCTTTTGATGATGGGACTCTTCGAAGTGTACGCAGTGGCGTGGGCATGGAAGATCTGGGTCTTTTAGGCGACATGGACCATATCACAGATCTATGGGGCTTGCAATCGGATACTACGGCTGGTGACATTCTTGACACGCTGCTCGTTACGTTTGTCGACGAAACACGAGTTTTCCGCTTCAGTCCTGATGGCGAGGTTGAGGAATTAGACGATTTCCTTGGCTTAAGCCTTTCAGAAAACACTATCCTCGCTGCCAACCTACCAGGAGGACGGATATTGCAAGTTACTGAACGGAAAGTCCTAATTGCAGAAATTGAGAGCGGAATGGTGACTTTTGAGTGGACGCCACCAAACGAGCAGATTGTCACGGCTGCTTCATCCAACGATGACACTGCAGTTCTTGTGACGGGTGGTCGAGAGTTGACGGTCTTTAATGTCAGAAATAATGCCCAAGTCATTTCCCAGAAAGAGTACAGCGCAGACACTCAAATATCTGGTGTTACAGTGCCCACTTCGCCCACAGGAGTTTTTATTGCGGCTTTCCCTCAGTTAGCGCAGGTCTCAGTTATCCAATTGAAGGATCTACAAGAGTTGCAGACAAAGTCACTTGGACCTGCTGGTGAAGCTTTTCCTCGGTCAGTTCTTGTCGCTGATGTCCACCAGGCAGGTGTTCCTACGCTGTTTATCTCGATGGCCGATGGCACGGTTGTCACTTTCTCGTTTAGCGTTCAAGATCTCTCTTTGACGGGTATGAACAAGTTGATCCTTGGGTCTGAGCAGCCTATATTCAAGAAGATTCCTCGAGGGCATGGATTGTACAACGTATTTGCAACGTGCGAAAATCCAAGTTTAATCTATGGCTCTGAGGGCCGAATCATATACTCCGCCGTCAACTCTGAAGGTGCCTCGCGTGTCTGCCATTTCCACTCCGAAGCGTATCCCGAAGCGATTGCGGTTGCAACTGTTCACGACCTGAAAATCGCCCTAGTAGACAAGGAGAGGACGACCCAGATCCAGACACTCCCGATAGGAGCTACTGTCCGCCGTGTTGCCTACTCACCTCACGAGAAGGCATTTGGTATTGGTACCATTGAACGAAAATTGGTCCGAGGGGCAGAGATTGTCAAGAGCCAATTTGTACTTGCTGATGAGATCCTCTTCCGTCGGCTGGATGCTGTTGACCTTAAAGAAGAGGAGCTAGTGGAGAGCGTTGTTCGTGCTGAATTCGCTGACGGGAAGGATGAGACTGGGAAAGATGTGGTCAAGGATCGGTTCGTTGTTGGCACGGCTTACCTGGACGATGAGGGAGATGAGTCTATTCGAGGACGGATATTGGTCTTTGAGGTTGATAATGGTCGCAAATTGACGCAGGTTGCTGAGCTTCCCGTCAAGGGCGCTTGTCGGGCTTTGGCTATGATGGGAGAGAAGATTGTTGCGGCGCTTGTAAAGACGGTGAGTATCGTCCCTGTCAAGACGAATCGATTGCTGACTAGTATCCAGGTCGTTGTCTACAAAGTGGTAAACAACAACTTCGGATCGATGAAGCTCGAAAAACTCGCCAGCTATAGGACCTCAACGGCACCCGTGGACGTAACGGTGACAGGAGACACTGTTGCAGTGTCTGACCTGATGAAGAGTGTCTCCATTGTACATTACAAAGAAGGCCAGAATGGCCTCTCCGACTCCATGACTGAAGTATCTCGACATTTCCAGACCGTTTGGGGTACAGGTGTTGCCTGTATTGCAGAGGACACTTTCCTCGAAAGCGATGCTGAGGGCAATTTGGTCGTCCTCCGTCGTAATGCCAACGGCGTGACGGATGATGACAAGCGCCGACTCGAGGTGACCAGCGAGATCTCGTTGGGCGAAATGGTCAACCGGATTCGACCGGTGAATATCCAACAGCTGGCGAGCGTAACTGTGACTCCACGGGCTTTCTTGGGAACGGTATGTCCCTTCCTTCTCATTTATTTTTGTCACTTGCTAATCCTTGAACAGGTCGAAGGCTCAATCTACCTCTTTGCCGTAATCAATCCCGAACACCAAGACTTCCTTATGCGCCTTCAAGTCATAATCGCCTCCTTCGTCGACTCCCTCGGTGCCCTCCCATTTAACAAGTTCCGCGGATTCCGGAGCATGGTTAGGGAAGCTGATGAGCCGTTCCGGTTTGTGGATGGGGAGCTGATTGAGCGGTTCTTGGACTGTAATGCGCATGTGCAAAAGGAGATTGTGTCGAGAGTGGGTGGAATGGATGTTGATGGGGTTAAGGGGATGATCGAGGCGTTGAGAAGATTGCATTAGTTTGATTAATGATTACAACTGCGTATGAAGACATTGGGATAATATGACGTTCATTATTGTTTAATTAAGTTCTATCAGTAGTACAGTACATGCGTCCACTATTAGATTCCGCGCACATCGCACAGAAAATTACAAGTCAATGACTAGCATATCGAAGAAAAGCAAGACCCAGTGATCAAAACATGGACGGATGACCGAAAAGTCTGCACGCGTCGCAGCCGGAGGACAAATAGACAACGAATGAAGAAAAAAATTTTACTCCTTCTTCTCACTTTGACCCTCCTCATCACTCCAATCCAACATCTCCAACAGCTGCTCCTCAGTCAGATTATGACTGGGCTGCTTCTTCTGCCTCCTGCGCACATTCTTCCCCCACTCAGGCACCCCACTCTCCCTGGCAAATCGAACCGCTTCCCCTTCCTCCTCATCATCAACCTCATCATCCGTATTCTCCACCTCCCCCAATACCTTCCCGCTCTCACTCTCAGCAGCAGCAGGCTTCCCACTCCGCAAACTATTCGCAGAAACCTTCGCCTTCTTCCCCTCACTATACCCCGTTGCCTCAGCCTGCTTCTTCTCCTTCTCCTCACGGTTCTTGCGCTCGCGATCACTCGACCAGCGGAAGAAGCGCTCGATGTAGGGCCGGATAATAATGTAGAAGACCACAGAGCCGATGACTTTTGTCCAGCGCGTGGAGGAGACTTGCGCGAAGGAGTTGTAGAAGTTTGTAGTGAAGCGGGTGAAACCGGCTTGGGCGACGCCAAAGATTTGACTGAAGAAGTCGTTTATAGCGTCGTGGACGAGGTCGTTGAAATCGGGTTCGGCGGCCATTTTGGTTGCTTTCCCGGGATGAGAAACGATACGGTGTTTGTGTAGAAAAAGGAGAGGATTAGAGTATTAGGATCCTGGTATTGGATCTGGTAGAGTATAATGAACAGTGAATCGTCAATTCATGCAAAAGTAGGTGAACGGATTGTGTGCTGTGTAGAGAAGAAGGAAATATTTCGTTGCAACTTTGGCTTCAATCTGTCTGTTTGCTTTTTTGGGTTAGCTCCGACCATCGCGGATAAACCGGCATATCCATTCTCCGCTATGCTGAAACGGACCAATCACATGTGGTTTGAGGACGCGTCTCGCGTCCAGGAAAGGAAAGATATCGTTCTCTGTACATACTATTCGCTTCTATCAGGAGAACCTGAAGAGGGGAATTGCTACATATTAAAATGGAACAAGAAGAGAGAACTGGCTTGGAAGAGGTATGTCGCTGGGTTTATATTTGATCTGTATTCAGTTCTCTAATGACAGTACAGCGCCTCAAATCCGCTCTATGGCTCTCGATTGGGAAAATCGTCGATGAAGAAACCATCAAGCTGGGCGTGAATGCTACGCCTCAGTTTATCGGAGCTTTGACAGAGATGGTTTGGGCTCAGATTGGTATGTATACCTTTCCGGGTGTATACCGGTACTAGTGCACCGTATTGCTTCTATGCCTAGGCCGGAGACTAATGAAAATACAATGAGCAGAAACCTCCAGTCAAGATCTTGAATCATTTGCCAAGTGAGTGCCACCCTTCTACGTCTCCAGGTAATGGGGCTAGCGCAAGCATACCATGCAATCACCCGTGGCCGTACACGCCACTTTATTCTTTTCCTGTTGAGAAAAGTGCCAATACTTGCACAGCATCATCCTATGAAACAATTTCGACGTCAAACAAGCGCACAGTAACTAACATCGGAATTTCCGTTCTAGGCATGCCGGACGTTCGACTATCAACGTCTCCGATGTGCTGCTACTTGCTCGTCGCAATGAAGGATTAGAATCAATCCTGCGCGCATTTATCGACAAGCAGCGAGAGGACAATGAGAATGATGCTTGATCGGATGCTGTATCACGTCGTTTCTATGTGGGGTGGTCGTGTCTACTGCAACTTACAGTAGCAGAGTTGCGGCGATGGGCTTCCAGTGATACTTCCGGTTTGTCTAATTGGCTCTATTGTGAATCCTAAATACTTACTAACAGTGCCAGTACGAAGTGTATCTCGCCCACTCATTCGCCGCAACCTATGACGCCACTTCTCCGCAGACTACAACCCCAGATACTCCATACAGTATCTCCGGAACCACGCAACACCCCAGAAAATTAACCTGCATTCCCGTCTGACATGGCAAAATCCTGACTCCGATCCCTGGAAGCCCGTTGGCAAAACGAAAGCAGCGGCACATTTCTTGATCCAGCCAATCAGAAACGCATGGTCCGATCGACCAAGATCCCCTCATGTCCGGTTGATAGCTGTCGAACCAAGCTTCCATGGTCGATTTTTCAACGTCCCGGTGGATTTTGGCCAACGATAGTTGCGCGTGCTGCGGAGGATGATTTACGTAGTGCATGGTGTGATTCTACTATGGCTTTGTGTTTAAAGCAGTCGGTTTGAGTTTTAGATAAGACGGAAATACAGTGGAAAGAGAAAAAAGTTTGAACCTACTCCATATTCGCCGCCTTCGCCTACCGCCTACTTATCAGGCTCCCTACATACCACACACGCCGTATACGCCTATCATCAAAATGCCTCCACAAAGAAGGGAACTAAGCCCCCAATTACGGTCCCGAATATGTGAACTACACTCTATCGGATGGGGTCCGAAGAAAATTCATGATAAACACCCAGAGATCCCTATCAACACCATCAAAACAACCATACGACGTGAGTGCGAGCGTGAGAATAACCAGTCAAAAGCACGCTCTGGCAGGCCACACAAGCTGAATGAAGATCAACGAAATTATATCCATGGTACTATTACCTCTAACCCTCATACGAAATATGAGGAAATACTAGATGGAATGGGCCATGTGGTTGAAAAGCGCTCTATACAAAACCTCCTTCGTGAATTCAATTGCCAAAAGTGAATACAATTAAGTCGGCCTAAATTGACACTTCAACGTCTAGAATGAGCCAAAGGGTTTGAATCTTTTACCTCAAATGATTGAGCACAAGTTAAATGGAGTGATGAGTTTACAGTGGAGACAGGAATCGGTATAAGACCTATATGGACATTTACACCCCCAAATTAGGCTTGGAGATGTCCATACTAAACCGTGTGGAAAAGGTATAGAGCAAATTTTTTTGAGCTGCCTTTGGAGCCTCTATAAGAACCGGTTTAATCCCTCTTGATGGGGATCCTGGTGCTCAGCGTGGAGGAGTCACAACAAGAATTATCAGCATTTTATACCTTGGCTGATTTACTCCATCCTGGCGGAATCTTCATGCATGATAATGTACCTATCCATACTGCAGGCATTGTAGAATTTCTTTGTTGAATTAGGGGCGGATGTCATGGTCTTCACCTAATCCACCAGATCTTAATCCTATCGAGAATCTCTGGGCATTGATGAAGCAAAATATTTATGAACTCTACCCTGAACTAGAACATGCACCAAATCCAGAGGCATTTAGAATATTATTGGTTCAGGCAGCCCAGGAGGTATGGCATGCAATTGAGGATAGTATGTTAGTCTGTCAAAGAGTATGCCTAACCGCGTACATAGTCATCCACGCAACTGGTTGGAATACGAACTATCAGAACCGGCAGTATATCAGGCAGTATATAGTGGCAATAAAGTGGAGTAGGTTCAAACTTCTTTCATGGTACTGTTACCATTTTCAACGTCATTGCAACATCTTCTGATCATAGTAGTTGTAAATCCAGTTGCGTCGAAGTCAGTATCTATAAAACCCAGAGAAGAAAGCCTAGTTAGTGAAATTAGTCTACTGTCCTTGTATTTAGTGCTTGACTTAGCCAAATAATCAATCACAATGATCGGGAGAAGTAAATCAAGCCTAAATCTCAACGATTCCACCCAGACCCAAGTCGAAAGACCTACAAGAAACCTCCAGAGAATGCGAAATAGCATCACAGCAGATAGCATTGACACACTACGGACAACGCTGAAAGCCGCGCCGTTGATGAAGTCGGTACGATTTCATGGACCGGGCGATATCCGGGTCGACGAGATTGATGAGCCATTTTGTAGGGCGGGGGAGGTCAAGATTCGGCCTGCTTTTGTTGGGATTTGTGGGAGTGGTATGCCTTCCTTGGAATTTTGATGAACTTCGTTGACGACGCAGACTTGCACGAGTATATGAGTGGGCCGATTTTGATTCCTAAAGAACCGCATAATATCACAAAAACAAAATTTCCTGTGACGATGGGGCATGAGTTCGCGGGTATCGTGGAGGATGTGGGAGACGGCGTGACGAATGTCTCTCCGGGACAGAGAGTGGTGGTACGGCCGACAATTTATGATGGATGCTGTAGCTCGTGTGAGTTGGGAATTGAGTACTGTTGTGAGAATATCGGGTTTATCGGCTTGTCTGGTGAGAACCTCTTTTCTCTTTTCCCAACGGGACAAAGGCTAATGTACAGGCTATGGCGGCGGAATGGCCAAATACATGACCGCACCCAGCAACCACTTTTACCCTATTCCCGACAAAGTCTCCCTCGAAGCCGCAGCCCTGGTCGAGCCACTAGCAGTATCTTGGCACGCCGTCAACGTCTCCCCCTTCAAACCCAACCACAACGTGCTGGTCGTTGGCGGCGGTCCAATTGGGATCGGCATCGTGCAGGTCCTCAAACTGCAAGGCGCAAAAAACGTCATAGTTTCCGAGATGACGGAGAGTCGTAAGAGATTCGCGCTAGAGTACGGTGCAACGCATGTCCTGGACCCGTCACAGGTTGACGTGGCCGAGAAAGTGCGGGAGATTACAAACGGGATCGGTGCGGATGTGGTATATGACACTGCCGGTGTGGAGATTGCGCTGAATAGTGCTATCCGTGCTTGCCGGACGCATGGGAGTATTGTCAACATTGCGGTTTGGAAGAAACGGCCTGCGATTCATGTGAATGATTTGATGTACCATGAGATCAAGTATGAAGGTGCGACGTTGTATGATGAGGGGTCATTTCGGGATGTGATCAGAGCGTTGAGCTACGGTAGGCTCCTGCAGGCAGTTCAAAAACACATTCTAACAGTGTCAGGTCAATTGAAACCGGAGAAAATGATCACTGGAAAGATAAAGCTGGACGAGGTGGTGGACAAAGGATTCAAGGCCTTGGCAGGAGAAGAACGAGAGAAGCATTGCAAGATCCTGGTGGACGTGCAGAGTTAGTGCATAGGATGGATGCATACTTGTATGTACTCTACCAGGAGAATAGAAAGACGATCACATGACAATCACGAGGCAGTGATGTGGCTAAGTTAAGCATACCTGATTTGGAATGGCTGTGCAAGTCATAGTGGACACTACCCCGGCCAATAATAAACTATCTCCACCTTAATCCCAGCAAGCCTTGGTCACGCTCCGCATATCCACCAATCGCAACTCACGGCCAACCCCAAAAAAGAGCAAGTGACATCACTGATTTGTGGCTCGTTGTGCCAAACCGTCCATGATTTCCCAATTGAGCAAAGAACCAGCCTTTTTTAGCCATGGATCGTCCCGAAAAGGGCTGTGAGTGGGCCGTTGTGTAACCGGGGAATCCACAGTCTCTCTTCCCCTGGGACCCTGCCGATGCCAATCTTGTTGCCTCGTCAGAGACTTGAATTTTCGCTGCCTTCTTACAAGTATTCTTCATCTTCTACTTTGTACAACACTTCATAATTTATCCTTTACTTATTCCTTCTTGACTTATCCTCTCAAGTATCTTGTGTGGGTATCTCATACAATATAACTAGTTGCTCTTTATTGATCCCTCCCTACATTGTTTATTTACGATTCCAGCCACCAGGCACCAGGAACCCACCGAGAATGGGATTTGGAGGCTTTGTGCTTCGCTTTTTCAACCTCACCATTCGAGTACTGCAGCTACTCGATGGTGCTGTCATTCTAGGAATCTTTTCCTACTTCCTCGCTATCCAAACCAAGCATAATGTCGAAATTCCGCAGTGGATGCGGGCCGTGGAAGGTCTTAGCGGCGCGGCCACACTATATGGATTACTGGGGTGTATTTTCACTTGCTGCTTAGGAGGCGTGGCCTTCTTCGCGTATCTCGCGATGCTACTTGATGTGCTTTTCGTTGGAGCCATGATTGCCATCGTGGTGTTGACCCGTGATGGTCCCCAGAGTTGTCAGGGACAGGTCGATACACCGTTGGGAACGGGGGATAGCAATGATGATTCCCCGGCTGAGTTGAGCTTCGGTATGGCCTGTCAACTGCAAAAGGTTGTTTTTGCTGTAGCCATCATTGGAATGTAGGTTTTCACCTGCCCCTACATATGTTACTACTTTGCTAATACTAACTGCAACAGTGTTTTCTTCCTCATATCCATCGGCTTGCAGGCCCTCTACCGTCACAACCACAAGCGTGAGAAGCGATTCGGTCCCTCCCCTCACAACAACTATACTTACGGCACCCGTCGCGGCCGTGGTTTCATCTGGCGCCGCAACAAGCATAACCCGGACAGCACCGCCAACCCCGACGATGCTCTCCCCGGCCACCCTACGCCTCAGGATGTCGAACTTGGTACCAACAATGAAAAGTCGAACGGTAATGGATTCTTTTCGCGCAACAAGAACAGCAATGCTGGTGCCAACGGATACGGCAACTCGGCGTATACGGGTAACTACTAAACCGTTCCAACGTCTAAGCCGATGAGAAAAAGAATTTAATGATAATTTCGAAATCAATATCGTGATTTCACTTGCTATTTCCTTTGTTGATCTGCTGGATAATAACCAGCTCGGTTTGGAGTCTACACAGTGCTCGCGTCCCGTCCTTTGGCTATAGCGACGGGAGTCTAATGATTAATGAACTGAGATACCATTCTGTCGTTGATTTTACGGTGATTTGTTTTATAGTGTATACTATCTAGCTAGCTTGATGTATGCATGGGCGTATGACATGCATATCTCCGCGTTGTTTGCGTTCCGACTTCTGGCATGTCAGTACCTGCGTCTGGGACCGGAATTCTGTAAGCTTAGTTGAGCGGATTGTAAAGGGGTCTCGGAATGAGTCTTATTCGTTATGATACAATGACAAGTATTTCAAGCGTACGTAGACGTCTTGTGAAGCTGGCAAGGGGCATCGTCCCTTGCTACTTACTGCGCAACAGTCGTATGACTGCATACCGGAATAGTCTCCAGAGCCCAACCAGGGCTGAGCAAGCGATCGTTGCCGCGACGGACGACCTGATTATATCTTACCATCACAGGCCAAATGCACCCAGTCTTACACTTCATACGTATGAGACTGTCGAGGGCACAAGATAGCTAGAAGATTGGACATTTACTGCGAGAGTCCCTTACTGCAAGAAAAATTTCTTAAAGTAAACTAAGAGAGGAAGGAGTGAAAATCATAAAATGTGTTAGTTCAAATCAAGTCATTACAGGATGTGCCATAGAGGCACAAGACATCCAAGTCCAAGAAGACAGACGTCAACAGTGCAGAGATCAAAGATGGAGAAATTATAAAATACAAAAAAGCAGCCTATAACCAAACCCGACCTCTCCACCACTCCCAAAACCCAGTCCAAAGACACTGAAGAGCATCATCCGTCTGTTTACCCAAACAAAAAAAAAAAAAATTCAAAATAAGCGAATCACCTCGCTCCGGGCAAGGGAACCGTGATCGTCATAGAGGGAGGAAGTGAAGTCAAGCAGGTCTAGTGCAAGAAACATGGGAAGATATAATCAGCTTAAGCCCAGGTGATCTTGCCATCACGGCAGATAGTGCCTGCAGCGACAGAACCCATGTCGACCAAGGAACCGTCGGCGGTGAAGAGAGAGAAGCTGTTGCCATCAGGCGAGCAAAAGAGATCATCAGGAGGACCCCAGGCGTTGTGAGGCTTGCCACCACCATGGCCGTGACCCTTTCTGTGGCCGTGAGCAGCTTGACCTTGAGGACCAGGGGCGCCAGTGGGAGAACTGAAGCGGGGCTCAGAACTAGTGGTACCAAAGGCCACGGAATGTCTGTTCGCATCACCGTCGTTACGCTGGAAGTCGAGGATAGAGCTGGACATGGCCGCGTTGGCGTTGTCAGGCGCGTTGCTGTCGTGGCTGGACGACTCGGTGGAGTTGGAGCTTGAGGTAGTGCTGGATCCCGAGTCAGAAGCGAGGAAGTTGGCGTCGCCATCGCATTTGTAACCCTTGCCCTCGACAGAGCCCTCGACGGAGGGACCGGGCTTAGGGAAGTTGACGTCCTTGCCTTCGACTGTCTTGCACTTGCCAGGGCCGTTGACGTTGGCGATGAACATTGGAGGCAAGCTGTCGAAGCCCTTGTCATTTGCAGCGTGTGCGGTAGCGTTGTTAGCTTCTAGGTCATCATCATCATCACCAGCGTTGTCGACCATCTTGTGACTCTGGCTGTCGCCCCCGCTGCCAATGTTGACCTGAGCGCAGTTCATGTACATTTCACGGTTGCCGACCTTGTTGAACCAGCTCCAGGCAAGCAAAGCCTCGCCAGAGGGAGCGTCAGACGGGACGGTGAACTTGTACTCCTTGTCGATGGGACAGCCACCCAGAATGGAGTGGATAACCTGGAAGGTCTTGCCCTTGTCGTACGACAAGGAGATCTGGCAAGAACCGCCTTTGTGGGTGGCACTACCAGCGAGCTTCAGAGGGTAGCTGCTGCCAGGGCTGTAGTTGGCAGTCGCGTTGAACGGGTCGTCCGCATAGCCCTTGCACGGGAAATCAGAGCCATCAGTCGACAGTGGGTTGGTGTACGAGTAGTCCTTCTTGCCGTTGTTGTCCTTGTTGAGGGGACTGCGGATGGGGAATGGCTCGCTCATCTGCATATGAGCAGAGACAGTCGAGGCCAGGAGACCCGCCGCGAGCAGGAAGTTCTTCATAATGAAGAATCGTTCGAAGAAAATTTTATTTAAAGGAAAGTTTGGTTGGTCGATGCCGTCCAGGGCAGTTAAGTAGATCGTTGAAAGGTGAAAAGGAGAGAAAGAAAGAGAAGAGTTGGTTGAAGGACTACAAGCAAATAAGACTGAGTGAGCAGGTCAGTGAGTGTATTTATACGTTGTGAATGGTTAGGGCATGGGGCAGAATGACAGCAGTGAATGTAGATGCATGAGACAGCAGTGGATGATCACAATGCCTAATGTGAGACACCATGGGCTTCCATATGATTCAAAAGAGGGGAAAAAAAATATCTCACTTACAATGAATTGTCCAATGTCAATTGAAGTGAATGACCTCCTTCGTAGGAAGATGCTGGATAGATACAGAGTTCGAAAAACCAAAGGAACGGCAGGCAGGGAAAACAGCCTATGATTGAGACTTCAAATATCTATGGGATGAGCAGGATCATCTTAAATATTTACATCTCAATGGCGGATTCCTTGCCATGTTTCTGACACGGGTTGGTTGCTGATATGGAATGGCAGATACCAAAACAAGCAGTCCCTTTTGGAATGCGACCAGCCAAGCATAATAAACCGAGCGCTTCTATTTCCTTTTCCCCCTGCCATACCGCCGACGTCAGCCTTTGAAGCGCCGGTTATCGTCTATACGTACCTCAGGGCTTATTGCAGCGCTTATTCGCAGCATTGAAGAATCCTATCCCGGTTATTCCCACAGATGACGAGCAGCTCGTCGTCATCCGGTACCAGATTAAGTTATCGTCGGTGCATATTCGATCAGCAGGGCATTGCAGAATCTGTCAGCAACGGAGATCATTTTCTGCTGTGCTAGCTGGGGATCCCTGGGCTCTACGGATAGTGGCATACTGTATATTGGTGGACGGGTGAGGTTGTGGGCGGCGTTTTCCTTACATTGCGGTTGGCGGCGCTCCAGAACGGGGTCATATTTAGTTAAAGATTAGTTAAAGACCTCCCCGGAAGTCCCGATAAAGAGTCCCTAAACTTGGGCTGTTAAAAAAGCACGTGCTTTCGCGTCTACCGCGTTTTTCTGCGTTATTGCTCGAACTTCGGCTTTTCAACCGCTGGGATGCCGCTGGCAGTACCTGCTAGCTATACCTGTGCTCCCAACCGTCCTACTCTCATACTTCTACTCCGTGCAGCTACTTCAATCATAGACTCCGCTGAATGTTTTGTCTTTCCTCCCACTGCCAGAGATCCGCTCGTTCGCTTGCTCTGTCCTGTCCGCATACCACTGTCCGTTGTCATGACGCCCGGGCATTTTCCGCCACGCCCACTTCCCAGTCTGGCTTTCGCCACGCTCCTTCGTCATGGCGGATGACGCGCCCCGTTACCGTGGCGAGCTCCAAGAAAAGCTTGTCTGCGCCATGGCCAAATCTCGTCTCTCATACCTCTACTCATCGTATGCGCCTTGGTAGACTGCATTCCGCTGCCCGATTATCGAAGCTCGCAGGATCGACAATTCCAAACCCATACTCATCCGTTAGATTATTCTCGTCTGGGGCAGTGTGTGGCGCGATGAAGGCCGAAGATTCGAATGCTAGTGTTGGTGTCATAGGCGCTAAAGACGCATCGGTTCAGGACAATCGTCAGAGTGAGGTCCCTCCCGGCATGCCGGCGCAGGATGGCTCGTTAGACCCGGAGTCCGAGGAGGATGTGCCCCTCGAGCCAGAGGAGCTGCAGGATGCTTTGACTCGGCCTCCGCCGGTCAACAGTAGCTATCTACCGCTTCCTTGGAATGGACGGTTAGGATATGTGAGTTTTCCTAATTGCTCATATTTGCTCATGTTCTCATAGGCAGTAGGCTTGTTTGAATACGTATCTACGGTACTCCAATCCTTCGGTATTCTGTTCACGAACCTGCCGTATTGCTTCGATCCTCGAAAACCGCCATCCGCTGCAAGATCCCTCACAGCCGCCTCATTCAACCAAGAACCGCCCTGACCGGGAACAACCTCCAGATGTCGCCCGTGGCCAGGCCTATGTGGAGTCCATAGGTCTCGCCAATGCTCGCGATCTCACCAAGATACTCGAGTGGAACGATAAATATGGCATCAAGTTCATGCGCTTGAGCAGTGAGATGTTTCCTTTTGCCAGTCATAAGGAATATGGGTACAAATTGGAACCATTTGCTGCAGATGTCATGGCCGAAATAGGTCGAGTCGTAGCCGAGCTGGGCCACCGCGTCACGGTCCATCCTGGTCAATTCACCCAGCTGGGCTCTCCAAGAAAGGAGGTTACAGAAAACTCATTTCGCGATTTGGAATATCATTCCGAAATGCTACGGCTTCTGAAGTTGCCGCCACAGCAGGATCGTGATGCAGTCATGATCCTCCATATGGGCGGTGTGTTTGGTGACAAGGAGGCGACTTTAGACCGGTTTCGAGAAAGCTACGCCAATTTGTCGCAGGACATCAAGAATCGACTGGTTCTTGAGAATGATGACGTGAGCTGGTCGGTCCATGATCTGCTCCCTATATGTGAAGAGCTCAACATCCCGCTTGTCCTGGATTTCCACCATCACAATATTGTCTTCGACTCGGACCAGCTTCGCGAAGGTACGCTGGATATCATGGGTCTCTACGATCGCATCAAGGCGACTTGGACGCGCAAAGATATCACGCAAAAGATGCATTACTCAGAACCCACTCCAGGTGCAATCACAGGTCGCCAACGACGGAAGCACAGTCCTCGTGTTGCTACTCTTCCCCCATGTGATTCGACAATGGACTTGATGATCGAAGCCAAGGATAAGGAGCAGGCCGTTTTTGAATTGATGAGGACATTTAAACTGCCAGGTCATGATCTAGTCAACAATATCATCCCTTACATCCGGACAGACGAGAACAAACCGTTCAAGCCACCCCAACGGTCTCCTAAAAGGAATGGATTTGTCAATCTGGAAGCTTTGGTTCCTCCAGAGCGTACCTTTCCTGAAGAGGAAGTAGGCATGGGTGGCCCTGAGCGAAGAGTATATTGGCCTCCTGGGATGGAAGAGTGGCTTCGACCAAAGAAGGTTATTCGAACCAAGGCAGCCCAGACTGGGACCGAGAGGCAAAACAACAAAAAAGCAGCCGAAAATGGTGCAGCTGAGACTGCTGCGGCTGAGGCTACTACGCCGGAAACGCCACCAACACGCAAGACCACGGCACGGGTCAAGCGTACGGCTAGTGTGAAGAAAACAACTACAACCAGGAAACGCAAGGCTTCGGAGACGCCTGTGTCGACGCCATCAGAGTCGAATGATGAGGCTGCGGAACCAGTTGAATCAACCGCACTTACTGCATCGCGAAAAGGCCGTCGAAGTGGACGGGCGAAGAAGGTCAATTACGCGGAGGAAAGTGAGGCAGGTTGATCGTGGTGGATGTCAGACATTAGACCTTGTCTTTGCAGGGCATCGGTTTGTTAGTCGACACACTTGTCTCTTCTGAGGATGACATAGGACCTGCCAACGTGCAACTCCACCACAACACCATCGCTTGCCGAGAAGCTATCATTTAGTCCAGCTCTCGGGGTTCTTCAGTTCCCCGGATGCGAATAACATTACGTTCGGCCGTTGAGTCTAGGATATATTCCTGTCTCATTCGAATATCATTTCCGGACAGCGATTTCTGATCCGAGGCAACTCTGTTATTTACTCGCAGCCAGCTGCAGCTTATATAGAGCATATATCATAAATATGCACAGGATTTTGTAATTCAAATTTTCACTTGGTAGAGGAACATCAACTAGCATTATTTTCGTCTCCTGTACACAAACTGGTACTGCGCCACAGTAGGCCACGTTACTGTGGCTGTGCCTGACATCTTGATGCGCTTAGAGACCATTGTAAGGGTTGGGGGCGATATCAGCTTGGGCATAAGCAAGTGTACAGCAAGATGATTTTCTTTGACTTATTCCATATCGAAAACATAGTTGTACTGTATGGAGTCTAGCCGCATACGGAGCACAGCCTTATATATATTCTCCGCAACGGGCTAGACCACATCCACACCACTGACAGGAATATTCGTATCCTCGCTTCACTTTTGATCTAACAGACACGTCGCCAATTTATTCGATTTTATAGAGTATTTTGTGTTCTCTGAAATTGCAGTGAGTATTTAACGTTCTACTGGTATCATCTACAAGTCAACTCTACGTTCGCCGCATTCGGTTTACAAGGCTGAGATGCAATTCATGCTGCCTTGTTGCAGATTGCCACTTAACTACACATGGGGAGCTGACAACCCGGAAATTATAGAAACGGATTATCCTAGAGAAAGCACGCTGGGAAAGAACCACCCAAGCTGGATCCTAAAGTTCCTTCCCGCAATCGACCTCCTGCTCTTCCCCCACGACCTACCTACGTCAGACGACTCCCTGCCCATCGCTCTCTACCTACTACTCTTCGTTTTAAAGCACGAGACCGAGATAGGGATCCATCGCATCAAGGGAATTCCTTACGCTTTTTCCGTGCCCTCTTCGGGCCGCACACGAGCCGCCGTGTCCATTCGTGCCTTTGGGGATTCCGCTACGAGACGCTACCCGCTCTCCGCCATCGGGCGCAGACACGATTGTACCGGGGTATTGTCCAGCAACTAAAACAGCTTGAGAAAAGACGGGCATTAGGAGAAAGGGGGATTGTTCCGTTTCTTGTTGGGAGTAGGAGTAGGAGACGGTTGAGGGGTGTACGGTCTGATTCGACCGCCGCAGCAGCACACACATTCCTTCCGAAACACACGAAAGCGCGCAGGTCGCCGAATGGAACTGGAAGTGTGAAGGAACAAATGTCGGGATTTTCGTCGTCATTGGGGCTGGGGGATACTGGACGGGAGCGTGGTGGACGTCGCCAGAGGGTCTACGGCTATCTCAAGGCTGCGAATGAGTTGCGCCAGTCGTATACATCGCAGCTGGCTACGTCGATCAACAATGTTCGGGAATACGGTGATGAATTTCATGATACCCCTGGTGCGTTTCCGGATGTTGAGATTGCGCGGTCTGGACACGAGGAGATGGTTATATTCCCCAGCTATGCGAGGAAGCTCTCTGGGAATAAGGCGACGGATGCTCGTCGACGAAAGAGCTTTAGGAGTTCTACTGATACAATTGATGCATACCGCGGGGAAGAGGATGAATTCGAGCAGTCAGATCCGCTTGACTGGGAAGAGTACGAAAATGAGAATGCGGTTGTTGCTGTTGATGTGCGGGGATGGTTATATTCGCCCCATCGTGGGCCGATGACGCGGAAGAATCGCTTGATGGTTGCATTGGCGCGGAGGCTGAGTGGTGTCCCTGCTCCAGGAAATCCCTCGACGGATAATGGCGATGGGAGCGACAAGATCACTTCTCAGGGAGAAGATGAAATTGTTAACAAAGAAATGCAGTTCATGATCAGCAAAGCAGAATCGGAAGCCGATCCAGCCTGGAAGAGCAGTGCGCGAAATGGCAGTGAAAGCGAATGCCCAGGGCGCCCTCCACTACGGACAGCAACCACCTCAGCCACGGGACCTGCGCAAATGACCAAAGACGAGCTGTCTGTCGCCAATGCACACCTCATGGAACGATTGCAGCCTTTCCTGGCGAATCCAATGATGGACATGCCCGTGACTGTTTTCTTCTTTAACGACGAGCAGAGTCAGTCGAGGAGTGTCATTACGGATGCGTCGGGCCATTTTATCCTTCGTGCTGCATTACCGTTCGTCCCAACGCATATCCGTGTTTTGGCATCTGAGAATCTGTCTGCTGCCAAGGAGATCAAAATTATCGAACCGAGTGGAGTTAGTCTGATCAGTGACATCGACGATACAGTGAAGCATTCTGCCATTGCCAATGGAGCGAAAGAGATGTTCCGGAATACTTTTGTTCGGGAACTGTCAGACTTGACCGTGCGCGGTGTTGACGAGTGGTATACTCAGCTGACCAAGTTGGGTGTCGAGATTCACTATGTCTCTAATGCTCCGTGGCAGCTTTATCCTCTTCTGGAACGGTTTTTTAAGTTGGTTGGGTTGCCGCCTGGCTCAATTCATCTGAAGCAATACAGTGGTATGCTCCAAGGTATTTTTGAACCTACAGCAGAGAGAAAACGGGCATCATTGGAACGTATTTTGAAAGACTTTCCCGATCGAAAATTCATCTTGGTCGGTGACAGTGGCGAGGCGGATCTTGAGGTTTATACCGAAATTGTTTTGGCGAACCCGGGGAGGATTCTGGGAATCTTCATACGGGACGTCACCACGAGCGATCACGCGTTATTCTTTGAAAAGTCCGTGGATTACTTGGAGAAAGGCCCTTCTCGAAGTCGGAGCACTGGCCAACTCATTCAAGATCAAGATTCTGATGCTGCGAACCGGCCTTCGCTACCGCCGCGTCGACCCACCATGCAGTCTACAGTTTCTATCAATGATGCTAGAAGCATTGACAATGGCGATTGTATTGATCTTCGGGAGGAAGGGGAGGAGGGCGAGGTATCCCAGAAACCAGGAACACTCCGTCCACCTCCTATGAAGCCTTCGAAGCCGCAAACCTTGCGTACAGCATCGACCACCTCGGATGTGACCGATTGTCAGACTCGAGAAGCATCTCGACGTAAACCTGTACCTCCAGTTCCACCGCGTCGTTCCGCCCCGTCCGTGGCAGACAATACTTCGAGGCATGCATCTAACCAAGACCTAGCACGGACTCAATCGTCTGATGTTGCAGTACGTTCTAAACCACCAGCACCTCCGCCCCCGCCTCCGCGTAGGACGAACACTGGTACCTCAACTTCATCATCCGTCAGCAGCAGCAAGAGTTCGACGCCGGCACTGCCGGCACCTCAGAGACAACAGCAATCATATCCTGTAGCGGCAGCTTCTGCAGCATACCAATACGCGTCGGACAGAATCTGGCTACCGTCACCCTCGAATGTCTTGCGGTCTGCGGCGACTCCCATCACGGGCCGGACAAGCAGCAGCAGCGTCAACGAGCAGGAGGGTTATGGCTCGTCTGGCCCCTCTGCACCTCTGCCAAATAAGCGCGAGGAGCTCTGGCGTCGACGCTGGGAGCGGGCAAATGAAATTCTACAGCAGAAGGGAGTTGTACTCGGTAGCTGGCGGGTTGGGAATGACGTGCAAGACGTATGTATCTGGCTGGTTAAGGATGCGATGAAGGAAATGCGGGACGGTAATGTAAAGGGTGGTCTAAAGCCTTGACACTAGGAGCTTGTTTTATCTGTTTATATTTAACACCGGATGCAATCAGTTTCTGGCCATTTGATCTGTGAAGGACAAGTAATCGTGACTGACTCTTTTCATGCATTCTTTCTCTTCATGTCTCGTGTATGTTTGTACGTACATACGGAGTGCGATGTATATAAAAGCTAAAAACACCAGCATATATTCTGCTGAGGTGCCTTATACATATATATGTTCAACCTGTCCTCTCTTTCTCTTCATAATTCGAAGAGTGGATCTGTAATAGGCGCATGCGGATAGCACGGTGTCGTTTTCACCGCTTCAACTCCGATGCTATTTTCTGCGCAGATGACATGTACATACATGCATTTGCAGCAAAGCTCGTATATGCTAGGCATAAGTACTGAGTATAATGTTCTGAGAAAGTCGCGAGTCATGAAGAATGTATGGGAGGTGCGGTCGTGGCTGGTAACTATTCTGTAGGATATCAGGATGTGTTCTCAGTCACCGGATATGAAAATACATTTCTAGAATTACTGCATGATAGTACTATATTGGTTATTGGCAGCGTTAATTAATAATATTAGCGCCAGAATGTGACTTTGAAGAACAAGTGCCCGAATTTCGAGTACTCCGCACCGTTTCTCTTGTCTTGCTACGCTTCCATTTCTGTGCTCCACCACATGCAAATGTTTGGCAGAGATTGACGAAGTAAGGATATCTCCCCGCTACTTTTATTGCTCAAGCGGACTTGGTGGATACATATGGGTCCATACTGGGCGACTATTGTGTGTTCACTTCTTACGGGGTGAACTAGCTATGTGGTGGACGTGATTCATGCATGAGTGCGTATACGAGTGAAGAAGATATTGCATCCGTGGGAATATTTAACCTTGAGTAGTGAGTGCTGTACAAGTAGCTGTACTTCGGGAATTGGCATTTGGCTTTTGTGTGGAATTTGGGGTAGGTGACTGGACATGCATGTAGAGCCGGAGTATGGAGTGCTTAGTCGAAGTTTCTATCGTATCTACCCTGTAAACAAAATGTGTAGCGCTGGAGAAAGCGAAGGCACGCCATCTTTACGCTCCTACCGTCCAGGTGGGATGGACTTGGTGGATGCGTGTGTTGGTCCATTCCATACTGGGCTGCATCATGCATGTAATGGGATGTTGTTTCCGTGGAAATATGTAACCTGAAGAGCAAAAGCCGTAACTAGCTAATTTCAAGGGACTCCGAAGAATTTGAGTCCTCTTCCGTGCTTATTGTGGAGGATCTGGAGTAGATGTGCGTATTTTCGGCCCATGAATGTAGAGGCGGCGTACTCCGTCCCAATGCGTATTGCTGTTTGATAAGACATCTTCCTTACTGGATAAAAAGGACCTTGGCGATAAGATTTTAGCGAATCGACAGCATCTTCTTATTCAGAAAAAGTATATCGAATTAGTATCTGGCCAAAGCTCAGTCAGCTCCGATCAAAAATAGATCTGTGCTTTCGTGGCTTGCCATGTTGACTGGGCAAAAACATTGCGAATCGGAGAGTGAAATAAGGAGACAGTGATTGGCCTCTTGGCTGGCCAAGATTTGTGCACAGCCAATAACGTATGCGGTGCTGCAACCCTCATGTCACTACAAGTGATATTCTAAATGGGCAAGGGGCGTGTCACTGTCAATGATGCGGTCTGGCCAAGAATTCAGCCCTGAAAAAGTCTCGCACGAACTGTTGCCGAATTGGACATAAGCCGTGTGGGGTGTAGGAGACCCTGGGAGGTCTGGATTGAGTACTGACTGGTGTATACATGGTGCTGCTGCATGTAGGCGCATGGCAATGGTGAGGCTGTACTCCGTTGACGCAGTACGTGTGTCTTGCTCGCAATTTGTAATACATCTATGTGCATTCTGTACCAAGTACTCCGTACCGCGGATCAAGATAACGCCCGCATATGGTGGATTCGGTGCGTGACACTTTGTAATGTGCGCTGTGGGGTGTATTCAAAGTTCAGCTCGGATCCTTTGTGCATGAGATTCAGCTACGCCAGGTTATACGCCACACGGTGTCGAGGAACATCACTGATAATCCATGGTCAGTCATTGGCCAAACAAAGTACTTGGCTTATGGCACCAGCTGGTAGTTGCAGAAGTGGATCAGCGGCTCGGCCCTGCGCGGCTGCGTTGTTCTATGTATGGCCACCCGTTACAAACTGTGATATTTCAAATACAGCTCGTTTAGAAGTAAAGGATTGATTACTGTGGATCTTGTGTGGTATGTTTCTGTTGCTTTACTCTGTAGATCAGAGGTCGTTCCAGGTGAAGTTGAGGGCTTGAGGCAACCAATGACTGGGTGCCTGAGTGGCCCGCAAATCCCGTGATCGGCAACCTAATTCGAACTGCTCTGGACAACTCACTTTACTTCTCTTCTTGCAAATATTCACAATTGAAACTAGCTTTTCCCTGCATATAGTCGTACTATTGACATGAACTAATGGATTGTCTTTGTTTACTAACTCAGCCGCTGCTCCGTCCACATTCAACGAATATGATACGGCCATTCTACTCCACAGGATTATGATGCATGTACCAGAAAGCGCTATCGCAGGCACCTACTATCTCACACTCACACCGCCCCAGCTCAGCCCAATGCTTTTGCAGGCTCGAATCCACCGTGAACAGTGCCATTGGTCTTCTCCGATCCATCTTTTGAATCTTTCGACAAATTTGACGCTTGAGTGGCTGCAGTGTTTCGCAGTCTCTTCCACGTATAGGCGAGATTGGCAACATTGGGAAGGTTGGGATTGTCTCCGCCTCGCGGGGGGATCGACTCTTTATCCAGGATACCGGCCTTGATCATCTCTTTCACACTAGGGTGGATTACGGCGTCGTGAGGCAGATCTCGGGGAGCGCCCATGTTTGGCGGGAGCCGGCGGGGGATCCATTTGCCATTCTCCAGTTCCAGACGTGTGAAAATGGGAAGGAACTCTGTTTGATTTTCGTTAGCCGCCGACCAAGTGAAAGGGTGAGGGGGGAAAGTTTACCAAGGATCCACCAGCAAAGGACCATCAAGAAGAATGTGCCGTGTCCAAAACTGAGCGTGTCGTGGGGCTGGTTTGTCTTCCTTCGTAACAGGAAAGCATTAGTTCCGGGAGCCTCTTTTCCAGGAAAGGCGTTTTCAGCTTTCGACACGTCATCAACGTTTAGCGTCTGAAAAGATAGCTTGCTGTCTGAACCGTCGAGATTGAGAACCTCTTGGATCATCCAGTTTAATGGCGTGTCTGACAATAGATGCTTCTGACCCGGTTCGAGTCCGTAGCCACCTCCGATATCACTGTGGTTACCGGCAAACCAGACCTCTTTGAGGTCCACGGGAGGACCATTCTGATCGAGAATGAACAGAGCAGGTTTGAACTTGAGTCGTCTTTCGTGAATAGACACCGCATGCCGGATGTATCGAGCTGCGGGGCTCGCCATGACCTTGTAGGACGTGCGGTAGAGCGGAATTTCGAACTGACCAACACTGTTGACACAGTCAAACAGGCCCAGGAAATGAATTCCCACATCTGGACGGCAGAAGGTCGTCTTGAATTTCTCCATATACGCAATGAGCTGCTTATCCTTTTCTGTAAGTGGATCATTTCCTTTAGCTTGCTGGAAATTGCTAAAGGTATCCCAGGCGAATTGGACCATCTCGTCCATTCCCTGGGATAAGAGACCAATGTTGTGGATCATCTCCGCAAGAAACCGTGCCGTGTATGCACCACGCGAGAAACCGAAGATGTAGATATGATCTCCGGGTCGATAGAAGCGCATAACAAAGCGGTATCCATCCAGGACATGGCTTCGGAATGACGAACCCACCATGCAATCGACTGTGGTGAGGATGGCGGATTTGATCTTGGGGATGAAATTTAAGCGCGTCGAGCTGGACCCTTGGCCTTTGACATAGGTGCCGATTCCAGCTATGAATTCATTAGCAACCAAAATCATCCTCATCACTTCAAGATGAACATACGCTGGTAATAGTGGTATTGGCCTGGTGTGTGCCTCTCGAGCATTTGGTATATTTTCACAATATTGGTGTCCGATTCATTGCCATGAAACCGGTTACCAGTACCATCAAAGCAAAGGACAATCCGGCGCGGGCCAGATTCCTCTCCAGGCCTTCCTTCATCTATTGCGTGAGGCATTTTGAAAAAGAGAAAAGCAGTACTTGCAAAGTAACAAAATTTGGCGACTTCGGGGACCAAGGATCTGACGGAGGAAAAAGGTTCTCCTCTAGTATATATGGGAATTTTCGTCCAATTTTCTTGTCACGCCCGAGCCGGGCATGTCTTCGACCACGGACTTGCAGGCACTCACCTGAAAAGTGATTTAATTTGATCAGAATTTAAATTATTTCTCAGTCTTTTTGTATTTCATCTGTACGTGTATTCCTTTCATCACAGCGGGTCAGTATTGATACGCACATGCAAAGCGGCCCACCTTTTCTGCATCACAGATCCAGCTCAAGTCACGGCTGAAATGTGATCTAAGCACTGTATTGGACTAGAAGATTTACGGGTTCGTCTGCAGTCTAACGCAGACTGAGCTGGCTAGTTAACGGAAATATTGGCTAATGTTTAGTATGGCCAGGACTGTGATTCGTTGGGTCTCCCCGATTAATTGGGCCTCTCATGCAATGTAACATGTCTAATATCTGCATATAAAAATTCTCTCTGAACTAACGAGTGAAAGCCCCAGGCCTAACCATGGTTTTCAGCTTTCCCCTCACCTCCGCTGGCAGTGACTCCGGGTATGGCGCAAGAAAGCGCTTATCGTTTTGTAATTCGAGGCATCTCTTGTGGACATTGGCTGGTTGATCGGCCTTCGTGTGGAGAAGGACTCGAATGCTGGTAACGCAGCTGAGCTCCAGGGGCTTCGGCGAATCCTTTTGAGGTGATGATCCGTTATGTTCAGTTGTGGCCTGCAGCGGGATGATTATGATCTATACTCAACATGGCAGGACGGCAAATGGCGCTGCCCTGATAGTAATTTCAGAGTCTCTGGCTGCAGTATACGGCTTGTGTACGACCATCAAAGAGACTTATTTAAACCCTAGGATTTCTCGCCTTTGCCAATTCTATTTCCAACCATCCACCCTCCCTGGAATTCTCAATCGGCTCGGTCGAACCCTTCCATTGCCGGACTTATATTCGTCGATCCACCTTACTGTCATTGTTTCTTATTCTTAGCCATTTCTAGTTCTACATAGACCATTATGGGGTTGTTCAGCAGTGCAGCCCCCAAGGCTTCCTCCTGGAACCCTCTGAGCTGGGGCTCGAGCCCGCCTCCCTCATCAGGACGTGAGTTAGCCCTGCTATAATGGCCAAGGAACTTTGACTAATTGAATTGATTATCAAGTTTCTTCGTTTCTTCCCTTTGGTTCTTCGAACAGCGGCTCCTCGTCATGGGTATCGCTGGCCATGGGCACAAAGGACCAGAGCTGGTTCAAGGCTGTGCTTGGGAAGTTCGGCTTTAACGGAGTCCTGGCCACGATCCTCAGTTTCTTCCTCTATGCCCTTTACCTGAAGGTCATCAAGAAGGACGACCGAGGATTGATCGAGTTCCTCAAGGAGAAGATCGCGCAGTATCTGTTCAAGATTCCGGGATTGAACAAACTTCCATTTGTGAAGAATCTCTTGCCATTTGGCAAAGGAAAAGGCTTGATTCATATCCCCAGGGGCACACAATCAGCGTTAGGCAGTATTGCTGGGACGGCGCCCGGCTTTTTGTCCAAGCTTAATCCCACCAACTGGAAGATCTTCAACAGGCACAAGATTGCCGAAGAGGAAGATGATCAGAAGTATCAAGCCGGTGAGCCTTACGGTGACCCGAATGTCATGGCCACTAGTCTCGTGCACGACCTCAAGTCAATGGGACTCAAAACCGGCGTGAAAGATCTTCGTACGTTGCTCGAAGTCGCCAAGACAAAGGGAAAGCCTATTGACGACCGACAGATGACTGTGAGTCTCGCAGAACACGAAGTCGACGAAAAGGTCTTTTACTGATGTCGCCTTCGAATACAGATGGAAAAGATGATTGCGATCGCGGCATCATTGCCACGGACATCCAAGGCGCGCAAGAAGCTGTCGGGGCTCATTATCGACACTCTGTGGAAAAGCTTGCAACATCCTCCCCTGAGCTACTTCGGCAACCAGTACCAGTACCGGACTCCGGATGGAAGCTACAACGTAAGTTGGACGCATGGGACTCAATTCGATGTACGCTTGCTAATTATATTTCGGGTGTAGAACCCTCTCCAGCCGAACTTGGGCAAGGCTGGAAGTCCTTACGCGAGAACCGTTCCGAAGTTGAAGCACTTGCACGGTGTCCCGCCGGACCCTGGTCTTCTGTTCGATCGTATGTCCTCTTGTTTGAGCTTTGATCGTTTCGTGTTGCGCTAACAAACCACAGTTCTCATGGCTCGTAGCGACGAGTCTTTCAAGGAGAACCCTGCTGGTGTGTCTTCGGTTCTCTTCTACCACGCAACCATCATTATTCATGGTAAGTTGATAATAGCGCTCCATGGTTTTGGGTGATTACTTATCACTTTCAGATGTTTTCCGCACCAACCGCTTTGACTCCAATATCTCTGATACGTCTTCCTATCTCGACTTGGCCCCCTTGTACGGCTCCAGCCGTGAGGACCAGCTGTCTATTCGGACTATGAAGAATGGTCTTCTCAAGCCCGACACCTTTGCAGAAAAGCGACTGCTGGGAATGCCGCCAGGTGTCAATGTTATGCTCATCATGTACAACCGTTTCCATAACTATGTCGCAGATGTCCTGCGGAAGATCAACGAGGGTGGTCGGTTCACCGTGCCTCCCACTAAGACCAAGGAAGACGAGGAGAAAGCTCTTGCAAAGCAAGATGAGGATCTGTTCCAGGTAGCTCGACTGTAAGTATTCTGCTCCCGATCATGAAGATTTCCGGTGCTGACAACAAACCTACCAGTGTCGTGAACGGTCTTTACGTCAACATCTCCTTGCACGACTACCTTCGTGGTCTGACCAACAGTCATCACTCCACGACCGACTGGACTCTTGACCCTCGCGTTGAGGTTTCGAGACTCTTTGACCCCGAGGGCGTCCCGAGAGGTATCGGTAACCAGGTGTCTGCGGAATTCAACCTCCTGTACCGATTCCACTCCGTCATCTCTCGCCGCGATGAGAAGTGGATGAACGAGTTCCTCCAAAGCCTATTCCCAGGAAACACCAAGCCTCTTGACCAACTTACTCCCCATGAATTTGTCCAGGGTCTCCTCCGCTATGAGCAGAACATCCCCAATGAGCCCTCCAAGCGCGAGTTTGGCGGATTGAAACGTGACGACACTGGCAAGTTCAGCGATGTCGAGCTGGTCAATATCATGAAAGAGAGTATGGAAGACCCCGCCGGATTGTTCGGTGCTCGCATGGTTCCTAAGGCGCTCCGTATCATTGAGGTTACTGGTATCCTCACGTCGAGAAAGTGGCAGCTAGCTTCTCTGAACGAGATGCGTAACTTCTTCGGCCTCAAGCGCCATGACACTTTTGAAGACATCAACCCTGACCCTGAGATTGCTGATTTAATGCGCAAGCTGTACGACCACCCCGACATGGTTGAGATGTACCCTGGTCTCTTTCTTGAGGATGCCAAACCGCGCATGGATCCAGGCTGTGGTGGTTGCCCTCCGTACACCGTCGGCAGAGCTGTCTTTAGTGATGCTGTTACTCTCGTGCGATCTGATCGATTCCTTACTGTGGATTACACAGCATCTAATCTCACCTGTTGGGGTTACAACGAAGTCCAGCAGGACTATGACATGTAAGTTGTCATCCTATATCCCCACTAAGCTCCTACTAACACTTTTGTGCAGCCTTGGTGGATCTATGTTCCATAAGCTGTTCCAGCGTGCTTTCCCAGGCTGGTTCCCTTACAACTCCTTGCACAGCACACAGCCAATGTTCACTCGCAAGATGAACGAAGAGATTGCACGGGAAATCGGAACTATTGACCAGTACACCCTGGACGACCCTTCGCCTCCACCGAACCCTATCGCTGTGCTCAAGTACTCGACTGTGACAAAAGTGCTTAACGACCAGGCCAATTTCCGTATTACATGGACTAAGTTCCTGAACGACATGGTTCCCGGAAAGACGTACAACAACTACATGTTGGGTGGTGACCAGCCCGCGAACACCGCGCAGAAGAAGCTGGTTCAAGATATCATGTTCAGCCCTGCCGAATTTATGCAGCTGCTTTCGTCGACAGCCAACTCCGTTAGCAAGGAGCTGCTTGAGGCTGAGACACTTAGCCTTGGGAAAGACTTGAACCAAATTGATATTGTCAGAGAGTATGTGTTTCCCTCTTGTCACCACTTGAGAAACATTATTGCTAACCTGCTGATAGTGTTGCGATCCCCTTGAACACCCGTCTCCTTGCCGACCTTTTCTCCCTGGACCTCAAGACCGACGAGAACAAGAAAGGAAGCTACGATGCGACGACATTGTACACGCACCTCCTCAGTGTCCGTACCTACGGTTTCAACAACAACGACCCAGCTATCGCCTTAAACCGCAGAAAGAAGGCTCGCGAAGGTGCCGAATCCCTGACCGAAACAACCCTCAATGTTGTCAATGGGAGCCCCAATTCGATCGTTGACGCTCCCAAGGGAATTATCTCGAAGGCCACTGGAGCTGTTACAGGAGCAGTCACCGGCGTCGCTTCGCACATTCCTATCATTGGTGGTTTCTTCACGCACAAAGGCAAGACGGCTAATGCAAGCACTGGTTCTCTGCGCTGGTACGGTCAGAATGTCGTCAGAGAGATTATCGCTGCTGGAAAGAGTCCAGAGGAGACGGCTGAAATTTGCTGGTTGAATGCTGTTGGTGGTGTTGGTTCGCCGATTGGATTGGTAAATATTCTATTCCTGTCCTTATGCAAAAGAAATTCCTGAACTGACTTTCCTCTAGTTTGCCGATGTTCTCAGTTTCTACCTCAAGGAAGAGAACTCCAAGCACTGGGAAGACATTCAGAACTTGGCTATTGGCTCCAATGCCCAGTCCGCTGACAAGAAGCTGCGACAATATGTTTTAGAAGCCCAACGTCTCACCAGCACCCAGCGAAACCTCCGTATTTGTGTTGGCGAGACCACCATTGACGGAAAAACATTCAAACCAGGAGATATTGTTGTGTGCTTATTCGTAAGTCTCACCTTCTCAAGACGTGCCTGGAAAATTGCTAACAATTTGTGACTAGGGCCATGCTTGCAAGGATCCGGATGTGGTTCCCGACCCCGAAGCATTTAAGCTCGACAGACCAGACAACGCTTACATCCACTTCGGTTACGGCCCTCACGCGTGCCTTGGCCGGGAAATTGCCTTGGCTCTTGTGGTTTCGCTCATCAGGCTCTGCG